TTAGCAGAATATCGCCCATTGGTTCGGCTCTTGCTTCAGACGGTTGTAAAACAATCTTTAAAATCCAGGTAAACATTTATATTTCTATTACTAAGCGATTTTATTAACATTAGTGCATCACCCAATACTATTTTTCTGCAAAAAATAATTAAACACATTGGTATGATTTTATTATACAATAATAAATAGGTGTATAAATTTAACTATGGCGCCCTAGTCAATATAAGGTATAGGATTAATTAGAATGAGATATTTGAGTATTAGTTCGGCTGTAATCATCAAGCATGTTGGGTGGAAGATTAAAACTAGTGATATGAGTACAGAGAAGCGCTTTGGAAAAGTGACAGAGTATATTTCTAGAAACGATGATTCGCCTCTTTTTAGCATACATCGGCACAGATCTGTGTAAAATTTGTACTCGTCAAGGCTGTCCTTTTCTCCACAATATTCAAATATGCGATAGACTGCATAATGGACATTTTGCTGATGCTTGTCGGCACTCACTGTCCAGAGCATAGTATCACAAATCTTGAATAGACTAATATAGTCATTTTTGCTGATTTTGTTGTGACGAAATGCAAATAATTCTAAACAATGTATCGACAACAGCAGTGAGAATCGGATTCAGGATCAATATAAATAAAACGAAAATATTTTTGCCTTTTATACGTGAAGCTGATAAAACACCTATTTTTATCAATTCAATGCTGGTTGAAGAAATGCTAGGTTTCAAATATCTCCGATCCACTCTAATTCCAAATGGACAAGCGAAAGATGAAGTTAGAGCCTATATAATAGCAGTTAGAAATGTTTTCTTCTGGTTAATAAAATACTTTTATGAACTCGTCGCGAAATCACTATAAACCTGAGTCTATCTAGTCGCTATTCGCTTGATCTTGGTTGCCAGATCTGGTCACTGACAACAAAGGATATTAAGAAACTATCTGCCTTTGACCACTGATATATCTTACTGGTCCCCGCCGAGTAGGTAAAATGAATCCACTCTCATTCAAATACTATTTGATATTAATAGTACCATCAAATAACGCGGTTTTCGCTGGTTAGGGCACATTCTTCATCGTTGAAAAGAACTAATACGTATTTCGTTACTTGCTAAATTTTGTGACGGTTAGAGTCAATAGAGGTAGACCATTCAAAACCTGGATTGGACGGTGAGGAAAGATTTTGAACATGTAGGCGGACCAGCGATATATGGACTTAGACATTGGAAAAAGGAATGGCTTCTATTACTGTCAGCAATTGCATCAGACCAAATAGCTCTTACCCTTGTGGAACCAGCGTAGGTATCCTAACCAGTAATAGTGAGAGAAGAAAATCTTGACTGTACTTTTGTTTCAATGAGATCTCCTGGCAGAAGGATTTCTTCTCATCTTCCTAACCAATAAAAGCCAATCAAATGAAAAGTGGTACTGTTATAAAGAAAAGAGAAATGAGGTTAATTAATCTTCAACAGTGTTTTTCAGCTGCTATTCATGAGTCAATAATTGCTTATAAAAATTTTACATTAACACTGATGACGAAAATTGATGACATAACGAGTAATAAGTGTATATGAATGGTGATAAGATAATAATATTATGAATTGTGAAGTAATCATTTAAATGTGCCCAGCTGACAGTGTTGAATTATCGAATACACATCTAAAAAGATGAAAAATCCATTATATTATTTTTTTTTTCTTGAATATTTGCGAATACGATATTTATTCTTCAATCAGCGATGATTGTTATTAAAGTTTAACGCTTGTTGTAAAACAATTGGTTTTATTTTGATGATAGTAAAGAGAAGTGACAAGAATCAAAATCACGATGTTAGCTTCATTTGCAAATGCCAACTTATCCATCAAATTTTGTTCCAATATTTTCTAATGTTTTCATTTTTGCGTTACAATTATGAAATCGTTTAATATAATTGCAAAAAAAAAAATCATTATTCATATATTTTATCTATTAATTTAGGTCTAACAATATTTCATTACAGTAAACTAATATTTTAATATTTCAATGTAATATTTTTCCAGTATTACATTAGTGCATTAAAATTTCATATTATTAAGAAAGGCAAAAATTAAAATAAATACTGTTTGCCCATTGAATATTGATTTATCATTTCTAAATATAAGTATTTTTAAGTATAATATAAGTATTTCTAAATATTATTTTTAAAAAAATATTAAAATAAAATGGAATAATTTATGAAGAAACAAATTCATCGAATTTTAAGCACTAAATTAATATGAATATCTCTAATTTTTTCAGTAAATATGAGGAAAAAGTAAAAAAAATTCTGTTGAAAATGTCTTTTCTCTTTTAACTGTACTCTGCTTTAATAACATTGAGTTATAATCGTCAATTCTATACATATGACAAGTTGTTATCGTTGACTTTATTAATCTTCTAGTTGATGATGAATGCTTATTTAAGTGTCGTTTCGTTTCAACATGTAAAGATATTGTATAAATTTAGTGTTTTGAAATATTTTGCTTATGGTTCGTAATAATTTACGAGTAATGGCGAATAAGATTTAAAAATGCAAATTCTCAAAAAAATTTATCAACCAATTGACTAGACAATAGTGATAAAAATGACAAATATGGATATTCGAATCTAATTGATAATTTAATTTTTTTGTTTTTTTCTGATTATTTTTCTGATTCTGATTGAGTATTTTGATTAGTTTGATCAAAAAACTATTATAATCAATCTTGGCTTTATATTTTTGTGAGATCACTAAATAATATTTTGCGTAATCATATGATTATTTATTGAACCAATTATTTATTGATATAAATCTTTTTTTGAGGTTTTTTTTTTGTTATTTATTATTTATTAACAATACTTATGTTTATAAATTGTATTCAGCGAAGTAGCAAAACTCTTATCGTATTCTTTCCTCCTATCGTTGCATATAAGAACCCTTTCATTGGTTTGTAACGCCCAAATAAAATTTGTAGGCCGCGCCTCTGCCCTCCTTCTAATAATAATTTATATATAAAAATTCTCTATCATGCTTTTTGTAAATTATTACTAAGCAATTTAACGTTTTATGAAAAATTCCTCGAAAATTTTTTTTATTATTCAAATTTTATACGATCTGCTGCATTCCTATTTTCTTCTATACGCAGCAAGAGAAATTTTATTTATTGTTGTGTGCTAATGGTAAAATTTAATATTTCTAATATAGTACCCGATTTAATAAATGGTCAAACGAATAATGATTCTTCGTTAGGTAAGATTTTTTTTTCTTTTCATTTCTTTTCTCGTAGTGGTTAAAATATTTATGAAAATATTTATGGTTCGTTTATTTATTAATTAGAACATTATGAGATTCTCTAGATAGTAAATCTGAAAAGTTTTTTTTAAGTCTTTTATCATAATTTACAACAACTGATAACGATTTTCTATTATAATTAGCCAATTTTATTCTATAGAATATTTCGGAAAACTTGCTAATTTATAGTTATAGTAATTTCATACAAAAATTTATGAAAAAATTTATTTAGGAATGGTTACAATAGCATTTTGGGAATAAATTCTAATAGGAATGTCCATTAAAATTCGTCTAACTCAATAATTGTTGGGTTTTTTTTTGTTTTATCTAAGATCATTTATCATTTCTGGCGGAATTTGTTGAGCCAAATTTTGCGTATGTCAAATCTGTTAAATTTTGCAAGCGCAAGTCACTTGATCCTGAAATAAGGTGATGTCAAGAGTAGAGCCTCTAATTACCGAGTAAATTTAATAGGTGAATAATTGAATTAATCGAAGAAGTTGATTTTTTTTTTTTATTAAAAGGTGAGAAATAATTAATAGTCAATTCTAAATCAATGCTGTTAATTATTTTTAAAGAATTCACTTAGAATTTTTTTTTTTCCCACTTTCTTCATAGCCAATTTACATTAATTGCATGTTATCATAGTCAATAAATTCTTAACTTATTTTACAAAGTCAAAATAAATTTTAGTTTGATCGATTATAGTCGAATTTTTATAGGCCATCCATCTATTTCCTTTTATCATTTCATATGACTTATGTTACTATGTTAAACATAGACTAAAAATTAAAGATGATGATTATATCAAATTATCAACAACAATTAATTACAATTAATTTCATAAGCCAATGATTCTTAATTATTTTGACGAATTTCTATTTGCATTAGAATATTTTTATTTTTTTATTAGTTCATTTTTTATAGATCCATTTATATCATAGCAAATGCGCACACAATTAAGTGAATCAGTTTCACTTGACGATCTAAGTCTTATGAATATGAGAAAAACCATAGCATTTCTAAAAATTTTGCCTTAATTGGAATTTTATTAAAACTTTTTAAGTTGGAAACAGCGATTTACAAGTAAAATCGGAAAAAATTGAAGCAGATAACGAAAAGAAAAGCTTGGAGAAAAATACCAAATTGGAGAATAAGGAGCAAAGAAACGATTCTAGCATACATAGTATACAAAATGATACCCTTGATACATCAGATGATAAAAAGAAGGTAATTGATACTGCATTACGATTTTGATTATACTCTAGCAAGTTTTAGCTCTAGGACAAATATGTTCTCTTGTTTTTCTTCTTCTTCCTTCTTAGACAAAAATACTGATCACTTCTGGTCTGGCTTGCTTCACTCCTTGACCAACACCACTCAAGATAGAGGCACTCCCAAGCATCATCCGTAATTGTTTTTTTATAAGTCCTTGTTCAACGCAATTATTTTGGTTATTAATACTTTCTCACTTATTTTTGAAATTTATAGAAAGTTTTTGTATTCCATTTTATTTTTGCCTTAAGCATAAAACAAAAACGGAATATCGAATATCGTAAATTTTTTCAAATAAGTAGAATTGAAAAAATGAAAAATACAAAAAAGATTAGAAATATATTTTTCTAATTTTTAATGCTTCATCGATAATTTTAATTTAATTTTAGGGTGACGAAACAAATAAGCCACCGTACAGCTATAACGCATTAATAATGATGGCAATCAAAGATAGCAAAGAAAAACGCCTAACTTTGAGTGGTATTTATGATTATATTACCAAGAAATATCCATTCTATAGAGATAATAAACAGGGATGGCAAAATTCTATACGACATAATTTATCATTGAATAAATGTTTTGTAAAAGTTCCACGCAGTTTTGATGATCCAGGCAAAGGTGATCGCAATACTATTTATTTTTTACTATTTTTTACTATTCTAAAACTAAATTAATAAACTATTTGTCGTAATATATAATTTTCACAAAGTGCATTATTTACTGAACTATACATTTCCATTTGAAGCTCATATATTTTATTAATTTTAGTTTTATTAGTTTAATTTTAGGTAATTATTGGACATTGGATACTTCTTGCGAAAGTGAAGTATATATTGGTGGTTCAACGGGTAAATTAAGACGAAAGCCAATATCCACTCGTACTAGATTAGATGCTTATAGAGCGTATGGAAGTACAAGCTTCCCAATTATGCAGCCATATTATCAACAAAGATTTTTTCCTTATTATAATAACGGGTGTCATTTTCATAGCTCTATAAATAATTTACGAATACCTGGTTCATTACCAAACGATCGGTATATGGCTCCAAACAGTATTGCGCATCAAATTAATGCTGCAGCTAATATGCAACATTATATGTATAATAATGATTTTATGAGATTTTACGAGTCACAAGCGCTTTTTAAAAATGAACAATAGAATTTTAATTAATATATAATTGACTATATGTAAATATTTTGTCGTATGTTTGTCCTTTTTTTTTTTTAAATTTTCTCAATTTCAATTGAGTTTTATTATATAAAAATAATTATATAAAAATATTTTTTATTATTTTTGCTAATTTATTATGGAAATTAATTCGAGGAAATTCTGAGAAGAAATTTTTTGAATTTTTTTATTCATAACTTTTCGGTTTCAACATTTTCATTTTTATAAATTATTTTTCCAAAAAAATCGACAACATTAAATTTTATCGTTAGAATTAATAGATAATTAAATTTCCGTTTTGCTACCATTAGAATCGAAATATCGAAAAATTTTCATAATCATTTAGCAAAGCAAATAATATTCGAATACAGCAAAAAAAGCTAATCGAAGAAGAAAATTTGTCGCTTAACTTTTATACATATTTTTCATAATTGTAGTAATTAAATGAAATATGAGTTTTTTTTTCGAATAAGCTAAATTATTACGTTATTTCTTCATTTTTCCAATCCCGGTTCACTTTGTTTTCTCGTTAGTCAATGTATTTATAAATTTTTTTCGTTGTGCTAATCGAATTTTATTTGCAATGTTTGTATTAAATATAATAAATAAAACATCTATATTAGTTGTAAAAATTGAACAAAATTAAATAATATATTTTATTATTTTTTATTTTAATTAGCAGCTTTTTTTCATTTTGCAAACAAAATTCCTAATGAGAATATTGTTGATAAGGAGCTATGGAAAAAATTAATCTTTTTATCAATTTTTAGTTGGAACAATTTTCAATAGTTTAGACTATTGACAATTTTGTTTGCGAAAACTAATAATTTGATTAAATGGACCGATTTCAGAAAAAAAACGAGTATTATCTGATTTTTTTTTCTTATTGTCATAAAATCGAACTTTTGTGTTAATTTTTTAGTTTAGTAATATAAAAATAATATATTTTAATAATATAATAATATAATAAAATATATTGCTTAATTTATATTAAAATAAGTGATAATAATTTTAATAATTTAATTTTAAATAATAATTTTTGAATCGAATTAAGCTAACTCACTTATTATTTTAATTTCTGAGTCATATGGATTAAAATCCAAAGAATCTATTTTCTAAATTTTATAATACATTTAATTTTAAATAATAATTTTTGAATCGAATTAAGCTAACTCACTTATTATTTTAATTTCTAAGTCATATGGATTAAAATCCAAAGAATCTATTTTCTAAATTTTATAATACTCTGAAGAATTTCTTCATACGGTCTCATATATTTAGTTAGTTCCATTAGAGTGGAATACTGGAAGTGCTATTGGAAAGTCACCCTCATCTTCTCCTCTCATCTCAATTCCACTTTCAATAACTCATTATTTCTTTCAAGGATTAAAAAAGTCAAGGCAATATTGCTTATATCGAATGAAACACCTTGTTGCTCGATCGCAATATTTTAAGGTACATTTCCTCTCCTTTTAAGCAGCTTGGATTTTAGCTTATCATTATAAAGTACCGCATTCTTTCATTTTCTTTTATTCGCATTTGGTTAATCAATCTTCATTTCACATTAATCTTTGTTATTGCATTTTCATTATTGATAAAATGTGGATATACAAGCGGTAGGCTTTTAAATGTTGCTATGCAAATGAACAGTTGCTTTACTGTAACGCAATCATCTTCTTCTTGCACTGAATTGTAAACCGTTCGATACGAATCGCTTTCATGTCAATATAGTGGCTATATTTTTCTTTAACTTCATTTCTATATCAATGAATAACTTTCAATTCGTATTTATTAATTTTAATTTTTATTAATTTTATTAATTTTATTAATTTTACTTATATTTCATATTTTCATTGATGATTTAAGAAATTGAATCGATTTATAAGAAATATGAAGAAATTTTTATTTGATTCATTTGATTGATTTTTTCCTTAAAAAATTATAGCAAATTGTTTTATTTCTATTTAATTTCATAATGCTTAATGCTTTACGATTATTTTAAGTAAAAACGAATATATAAAAGATTTTTGTTGGCCTATTGAACTCGATAAATAAACAAAAAATTATTTTTATTGCGTGTTCACTAGTCGAAAAATTTATCGTTTCGCCAATTTCATATAAACAAATTGCTTAAGAAAACTAAGCTGCAAAAATTCATATATATATAAACTTTATATATAAGAAATAACTGTCGATATTTGATATGATTTATTTATGTAATTTATATAAGATCAACTATAATTTATTTGAAGTATCCACTTCAGTTTAATATTATTTATTTACTTTATTTTTTTTTCTAATACGAATATTTTTAATTATAATAATCGAAATAAATAATAAATACATGAAGTAAAAATTAGAAAATAAAAAAAAATAAAAAAAATATGAAAAACTAGAAATATATTTTATTTTTTGTACTATTACAATAATTATAATTACGATATTATGGTAGTTTTCATAATTAATTCTCTCTAAGGGAAACATTGAATATTCTTTATCTTTGATTAAGTATCTTGTTAAATTATTGTGCAATAATTGTTTGAAATACAACAGCTTTACAACTTTTTTATCTAAAATATAATTCACTATTTCTGGTTGGAACCATAAGAAAAGGAACTAAAGAAAGGCCCTTGTCTAATACCATTATCAAGATATCTTTTCATATCTATCAAATATGAATTGAAATCATGGATGATAATGGAAAAAAATAGCAGACAATTAAAGAATTTCAATTTTCAATTATATTTCGACAAAGGCTACTTTAACAAAAATTTTTTTTGGCATTATCTTCATAGTGATAATTTCAATCTGATATAGCTCTTGATAAACATGGGTAATTTATAGCAATTTATGATGAAATTATTATGATGAAATTAGTATCATTACCAAATTATTTATCTAATAATACAAATGTAATGAGTAGGTTTATTATCAAAACTACTGTGCTCATTAAAGGTAAACGAAAAAATTAATCCGAAGAAACGTCCAGATGTTAGCCTTTTTGATATTTTACATGAACGATTAGACCTTGTGTTTCTTTTATATTTGATGGGTAAGTATATCGACAAAATATACAGATGTCATTAAACCTCGGATAGACGACTATTATGAGCGGATTTATAATTTACATCAAAAAAATGTGATTTCAAACATATACGCCAGAATTAATTGAATTTTTAATTTTGTTTTATATTATGTGTATTGCAAAATCTCTTAAATTCTGTCAAAAAGCACGCGTCTTTTAGTATAGTAAAATTATGAATTAATATATGAAAATAAATGAGAACGATAAGTAAATAGTGGATAATTCCATTGTTTTTCACATATATCATTAATGCCCCAAGCGATTTTTCTATTTTATTTTGCACTTACAGTATGATTTCTAAATAAGCATTCTTTTCTTATGTTGCGCAATGAACCTAAAGCTTTAATTGAAAATTCCTTCTTTGTACTATTAACATTATTTCTTAAGTCGAGAAACATCTGGTTTTTTTAAGTTGCTTTTTTCTTTTTTTAAGACCACTCACCACTCTTTCCACTGGCTTGTCGAACTGGACAATTATGTTTAAAAGTCTCTTGGCCATAGAAGCATAGGTGAGTTAGCATCGTTCGAATTCGCTCTTGTCGGGAGGAGTAGAATTTCAGCATCAGCGCTCTGGTTTGAGCCTACTGAACCATTCAATTTTTCTCTTCTTCGTTAGACGAAACTGCCACCCAATGAAAAGCATGCGTTGGTGCGTTGGCTGCATTCGAGCCAAAGCATGGATTTTCGATGGTCTAAGCCACCAATACATCTGGTTTTTATCTATGAATTTTGTAAACTTTTCTAATTGAATAAAGTATAGTTGCCGTACTTTTATTAAATAAATAATTATTATCATAAATAATTATTTTTTTTGTGTGATAAATACGATGATAAAAATATTAAATATTATATCAAAAAACAAATATAAAAATATATGAAATTAATTTTATTCGAAAAATAATTTTAAAATTTATTAATTTAAAATATGATTTTTATTTTTAATTATTTAAATGCAATTAAATCCATTTATTCACTTAATTCATAAATTTGTGATATTTTTATTCATAAATAATTTAGAAATATTAGTAAAAAACATTGATGAATAATAATCATCTGATGTAAGTAAAAGGTCATTAGCAGCAGAAGTTAATAATGATTTACAATGTTAAAGCCTAAAGCACATCGTAAAATATTTTCACAAGAAACGCTAATAACTTTATGATTGAATAATATTGTACATTGTTTTCAACAATGGAAAAAATAATTATCCTTTATCGAGAAATTATTACCGATTGAATTATGTTGAATGAATGAATACCGTGAAAAATTTTAATATTTTTTTCAAGGTTTCATGTCAAAATTTTTAAAAAAATAAAATATTTTAAATTTATATTCGCTATTTTTTCATGCAATAATGATAATAATAATGGAACTCTTTGATATAAAATCACATCGCAACATTTATTTTATTGAATGCGACTACCTTGAATTGCGATAATAATAAATTAAATGGCATTTTTGTAAAATCTTTTAAAGAATATTTAAATGATGAAAAATAAAAAATATGAATACAAAAAAAAGAATACAATTCTTCTTGTTAAAAGATTTTCAGCCTTTTTAGCGATTTCAGCCTTTGCACAAAGCATTAAGCCTCTTGTATGCAATTCTGTATGCAAAGCAAATGAACTCATCCTCAAACAAATGCTTCTTAAATTATCGGAATTAATTCTTTGTAAAAATAATTCGAAAGGTTGTTATAGGGATAAAAGCAATCATCGCCTATATTTAAGTCAAGTGGATCAAAGATGTTATGGTTTTTATATAGAAGCATTCTTAAAGAATTAAGTGGCGATCGGTTCGTTCTTTCTGTCTTAATTTTTATCATTAAATCATTTAAAAATAATTATTTGTCATAGGATATAAGACAAATTTCTCTAATTATATTTATTAAATTGTTTCTTAAAGGATTCTTAGAGGAATTTAAGGATTCTTAGAGGAATTTAAAGGAATCTTAGAGGAATTTAAAATATTATTGTCTCGAAATTTTCTCATATATATCTCGTTTAATATGAGATGGAAAATTTCGCATGAAAAATTCTTTTAAACTATAATCAGTTGAAAGTTTATTGTTACTGTTAAAATTCAATGTTAAAATAAAATAAATAAAAAAATAAAAAAAATTAGCTTTTTAAATTAATTTTAAAAAGTAATTGAATTTTATCGTTTTCGTTGGACTTACTCCACTGATTACTTATTTTCATCATTTATAGCCATATGCATAATAATATGCATTTTTCCTATCACTCATTATAATATTCGATATAATAATATAAATAAATAGCAGAGAGATTGAATTTTATGATAATGAAATTCAAAAATAAATTTTAACAAAAATTTAAATTTATATTTTAAATTTAAATTTTAAAAAAGAAATATCGAAATTTGCAAAAAAATTTGATTTTAATATATTTATTGAACTATAAACATCTTGTTAAAGGCAGAAATATTTGATAAATTGGCTCAATCTCATTCATTAACATTGAGAAATTGATCAAAGTTCCACTATTCGTTTAAAGAATAATTTTTTTTTCATAGTAAATTTTTTGCTATTCGCGACTAATTATAATTATTTTAGGCTAAAAACATGTTAAGTTCATTACATTTAAGAATGTACTAAATATTTTTTATTTTTATTATCGCCAATTTCTTCGATTTCTTATAGACATAAATTTTTCTCTAATTATAGGCCATTTTCAAAGTCAATTATTTCTCTCCCCCCTCGATCGAAGGTCGATTTACTTGAACTTTGACATTATCTCTTTTCATCTAATTAATTCAACGATATAATAATAAGTTTATTGTTGACCATTTCGATATCATTGAAAATGCCGAAAACATACTAGAAAAAACGAAAAATGAAAATTTTTTAGTAGTTTTCTTTTTTTTTTCTCTTCGAAATTATGTTTTACAAAAAAAAAATTATAAAATATCTGTTTTATATACATTTAAAAACACAAAATTGTCATCACAAGTGGCGTTGAACCACTGGAAAATGATTGATATCCATGATGACAGCTTTCAGTGTTATTAGTATTGATGATTGGATGATTTTCGTAGAAGTCAGTTGTGATACGTCAAGTTGCGGACAATCCCCAAAATGCTAGTTGGAATTATGGTTTACACTAAACTTCCAAACTTTATATATATACATCTTATTAAATCCCGAAAAATTTATTTCATCAAGTGATAATATAAGTGATAATATAATATTTGATAACAATTTATAAAAATTTTTTAATAAATAGCACGAAAGTATATTATACATATTTTAGAAATAATATAAATCAAGCAAAATTCTATCATCAGAAAATTTCAACGTGATTATAAACGAATAATATAAATAAAAATAATTATTTATTAGAAATAAATAAGAAAAAATCTTATAATTTGTTTGCGCAATAATATAGTAAAAGCGGCTTTTTTTTTAACCGATAAAATTTCTTTAGAAAATATTTTTACAAATTGTTCATTAATAAAAAAATAATAATTTGATGTTTCGATAGATAGTTGGACGACAATGACCTTAAGAGACGTCATGGTGAGCGATTACCAAGCATGTATTCTCGGCAATACTCTTGATCTATTTTAACCGCTCTTTAATAATCTCATAATGATTACCGAATACTTGTTAATTTTCAGTGTTATTCATATTACAACTCCTATAATGCAATTCGAAAACAATAAGAAAATATGTATAATTGATTATAAGGGCACAAGAATTATCTCTTTACCTTCCCATTTTCAGGTAATAATTCGCATTTATAATAAATATAGGTTAAAAATCAACGTGAAAAAATTATTCCGGTTAAATTATATTTAAAATTAAAAAAATATTAACTGCAAAGAGATCATGAATAATCACAGCGATAAGAAATCGGCAATAATCTTTACAAATATTAGCCAAATATCACAAAACAATAAGAAAATTACGATAAATTAACGTTTTAAAGTCGGTTTTTATGATGAAAACTTAAAATTTCAGTCCAAATGACAATTTCATCAGCGGCTGGCTATCAGCAGCGATTTTCTACTCTTTTGTTCGACAATCAAGCAGTGCTTCAGCCAGTTGACTTGCATCTGCATTTTCTTTATTCAAAGGTCCTCTATAGCCTGTTTATATTCCATATTTTTCAAAAAATTTTTGACTAGAGCCTATGGAATGAAATATTGAAAATATAGAACAATCCAAGAAACTTATGGAAATTTTAAGCCCAGAAATAAAAAACAAATTAAGCAAACGTTAAAAAACACTAATGGAATGAATTATCAATAGAATTCCGATTAAAAAAGCCTAATTCGAATCGGAATCGACATATCTTAATTCATCAAAGAAACGCTTTCCGAAAATGCTGAAATCCACAGAAAAAGGTTCCACACTTTCAAGAAAATCATCAGCTAAAACCTTTTCTGTTAAAGATTTTCCATGATTTGGATGGAATCGGCAATAATAAATCACCATTATGACAATACCAAGAACAAAACTAGAAAGAATAGAATATGCGATAACATCCTTATATGGACAACGAAATTCTGTACAGTTGAGAATCATGATTAGCATTATCTGGAAAATTCTGAATAAATAAATAAATATTTCATTTCTATATGATTTGAAAACTAAAATAAAATAAAGTAAAAAATGAAAAAATGGACGTACTCCATCTTCAACAGCTTCCACTGTATATGCAATAATATATCGCCATCTGGTTCGTCCTTCTGCTATATTGAATGGTGCAAAAATATGTACTGCCGCACAAATCACTATCAAGCCATATTTTAAAAGTTTCGATTCCACTTCAACATCAAAAATCTAAAAAAATATAATTACGAAAAAAATACAAAAACTAAAACTGCAAAAAAGAAGCCAATTTATAAAAAGAAAAAAATGTCACTGAAGGCTGACATTATTGCTGAAGCACTATAATAAAATATTTAGACAATATTTTCGTTTATATTTCATTAGTATTAGCCAATGTAAACAAAAAAATAAGAAAAAATACCTGTAAAAAATAAATGTGAAAAAAAGAAATTAAATAATGAAGAATAAATACGAAAATGATCCAATATTGGAAAGCCAAAATAAAAAGCACGAAGCACATATAACGTGAAAAAATTGTTAATAGGCGCCAAGTCAGCTAAATCATTAAGGAATCATTAAGGAAATGAAGGAACGTATGAATAAAATTAGAATGAACTGAATCGTTCATAAAATTTTCAATTTTTTAATAAATTCAATTTATTTAAACAAATCTCACTTGAAATAAACTTTGAACAGCAGTCATATTTTGTTTATCTTGCCTAATTAAACGCAATGCACGATGTTGAGTATTCACTGACCAACATATCGATATCAGTGAAGTCGTAATCGATATCAGTTGAATATATACTTAAAAAGTTTAAGATAAAAAATTTTCTGTTAGAAAAGAAAGCTTGGTTTCTGCAATAAAATTTAATAGATTTTCTATAAAAATGAAAGCATTTCCTCTAGATTTTACGAATTTCCCTATATTAAAGCAAAGCAAAAGATGAATTCAAAATTATCCATTGAATGAATTTGCCAAATTTTAGGAAATAAAAATGACACTTGTTTTTCTGATAATAGCAATATTCTAAAAGATATTTAAAAATAGGTTAGACATATTTAACTATATTAGTTTTAGTTATTATTTCAGTTATTATTTATAATCTATAAGGCAAAGATTAAAATATTTATTACAAAGAATTATACATCACAACAGACAGAAGCCTTTAGGCGTATTAAACAAGCATATTAAACAAATTAAGCATAAAAAAAACACATTTAAATCATTTAATTATAAACTCTCAGTAATGATAATTTTAAAAAAAAGACCTACTCCAATGCGGTATATCCTTTCTTTCATTGTGTATATAAAAAGATTGTGCTAACACAACTCCTTGAACAAGCATTTGTGGAACTGACTCAAGAAATGCCTCGAAAAACCTTCAGAAATTCACCGATAAAAATCAAATTATAAAAGTCAAAATAATGCACGGATAATCTCCCTCAGTTTGCTATTATTATATTATATATTATATTTGAAAATAGTTTGAAAAGTGAATTAATGAAGCAGGAAAAAAAATAAAAAAACTTCGAAACACCACATGAATGCATGCAAACTTGCAAATTTGCGGAAAGCTTCCAAGCAAATAGCAAATGAATAAATGAAGCAAAAAAATAAATCAGTTTTAAACAAATGAAATTTCACCTCAACAGGGATGCGTCTCGATCTGCTTCTGCCATTCTAAAAAAAAGATATCGCTTTTCATTTACATTTATACAAAAACGAAATTTCACAGCATATATGAGAGCTTCTAGCTGCCACAATATTGGTCCAAACTGAAATTTTTTATTGTCCCTTCGATAGATAAAAATACATAACTACAAATAAAACTAAAATATTAAAAAATATAAAAATACAAAAATATTAAATAAAATTTTAATAATCAATAAAATCTCTAATTGTAACAAATTGTAATATACGAAAAAGAATTAAATGAATGTCAATAAAATTTTAATAAATAAATTCATTTATTTAATTTCCGCTTAAATCTTATTATTATGCTTTATTTGAAAAAAAAATTTTGGTAAATATTCTCAAAAATTTAATCCCAACTTTAGTTGATTACCTGAAATATGCAAACAATCAATCGGTAAATAAGATGAGACGACCATTTAACAAGCTTTGAATTAGGCTCGCAAGAATCGTCTCTCCACCACAGGAACGAAATAATATTTAACATTAAAGATGGTATAACAATCAGAAAAAAAATAAGCACAAATGGCCAAATCTAAGAATTCGTTCTTTATTTCCTTCATCTTTTAAGAAAAATTATTATCTTCATTCCCAATAAAAATATGCCAAAAACATTTTCTTCTATGAAATGCAAAAAACAAATGTCATAAAACAGCAAAATAGCTTTTTGACCAAGGTCAAGAGCGAAACATATTACTTGGTGGGAGTGAACCTGTCATTTATAGTAAATCTGGCGCTAACTCACCATTTTTTATGCCCTATATCTAAATGAAGAGGTCTTATTGAAGCAGTCAGTTGAACCAGCTGAAGCAGAAATAGTCAGTAATAAAGAAGATATAAAAATCAGTATGATAAAAATTTTTTCAATTGAATAATATATCAAAAAAATATAATTATAAAGATAAATATAAGTATAAAAGTATATAAAGTACATCTCCTGTGGGTTATAATCATGGTCATCATCATCTCTACCAGAGACCTGGGAATTGTGGTTTCTTCTGTATAGAGACCTTGATATTGTTCTTGGAATCTGAAGCCATTTTTCTAATTTAGGGATCACAGTTCTAAATGCTCCAATTATCACTGGAATTAGTTTGCCTTTTACTTTCTACATTCATCTACATTCCATCTTTCTGACGTTTCTGTCGCTTGGTATAGTTATAGTTATATATCATCCGTGCTGATTTGACTCTTATCTATTACTACGACATCTAGTTGATTGACCAGTGTCTTGTTTGTCTGGAAGGGGAAGCCTCATAAGATTTCCATAAGCTCTCAAAAAAGCCTCATAAGCCTTTAATGTTCGATATAATTTTCTGAGCAAGCTCCCATTTAGTCCATAAGACAAGAGGATTTTCTTATAAACAATGGCACTACTTATGCCTTTCAGTATATTTGTTCCTACTTGCACTTTAAATCCTGCCATTATGTGGCATTTAGTCTGCATCTAGAGTCCTGTATAGTGTGGTAGATCCTTGTTTCAATGGATCTGCTTAATACTTGCTCCTGTGCCGCTATAATCAATGTCTCAGTGTTGCCATTTAATCCAGCTTTCTCCAACCACTAGTAGGATTTTAGAATAGAATAAAATTCTATAGCTACCTTAACTATACGTTGATATGCGATCCATGGTGGGCCTTGCCCTCGTATTTCCTCTACTTGATCATTTTCCAATATCATCCTACGTGTTTAACCAGCCGAAGCAGAAATAGTCAGTATTAAAGAAGATGACGCAAAAATTAGTATATTAAAGCTAAGATAGATAAAAATATAACTTTATTTTCTCGGTAATGTATATAAGCGGTGAATGCATCACTTCCAATATCCAGTAAGTACGTGAAAATTGAGAGAATATAACAAATTAAATCGAAAGAACTGACGACGATTATTTCGGGAATTCGATCTGTTCCATCCTGACACCTTTTGCACTTCTTTTTCACATCTAAATTTTTGAAACCTTCTTTTAATAGTTCAATCGAAATAAATTATAAAATATCTTGGAGCAATATTTCCCAAATCTTTTCCATTCCTTTGATGCCCTTAACGTATTAGAACGTTTCCACAATGCCCCAAATTAGAAAAAAACCAATGCTTACCAGTTGCAATACGCAGTTTGCGTTGTTAGATTCTTGGATAAATTTTGAAAATAAATTGAAAACGTATTTCAAAAATTTATGAAAGTTATTTATTTAAATATTTAAAAAATAAGCATAGAATAAAATAAATTTTAATTAGTCGAATGGGTGGGTTTGCTGTTCTCTGCATATCTCAAATCTTGCAGTCAAACTGGACACGGCTAAGTTCATTTCCTGTTTCATGTTGAATTTTGTACGGCGATCGCAGAAAATCCAACTACGCACAGATATGAAGTCGGAAATAAAATTAAGATTTGCCCAGCTTTATCAGTTATCCTTTATACTTTAGTAGTTGATATTTTTGACTGATAATTAAAGTTAGTTCCATGCTGATAAATAATATCATTCGTATATCGTCTTTCTTTTTCTAACAGCTCTCACCATTACTGGTTAGGCTGGTTCCAACCGCTATAAGGGTAAGACGCTTTCAAACGGCGTGGTCTGATGCCATCATCGACAGTAATGAAAGCCATTCCTTTTTCCATCGTCTAAGTCCATATATTGCTGGTCCACCTATACGTTCAAAATCTTTTCTCACCATATCAGTCCAGGTCTTGATTGGCCCACTTCGTTTTTGGCGCCAACTGTCACACGGTTTAGCAAATAACGAAATATGCGTCAACTCCTGTGGTGGACGAATGAGAACGTGCTCTAATCAGCAAAGGCGACGCTCTAACATCATTGATAACATTACTAATAAAGGTGATATTTGAACGAAGGTGGATGCGATCTTGTGATATTTTATCCGCTCGACGGATCCGTCCAAATAGTTTTTTGAAAGTTGAAATTTTCTCGACCAATTTCAAAATGCGCATGTTTCGCTTCTCTGCAGGTTGATAATCAACGTATCTTGAAAATGCAAGTAAAACGCACAATATACAAGTTTTAACAAAAATTTCCTTTTTTCTTTTTAATGTTTAGCATATTCGCGTTTTATCCTTTAAGAAAAGCATAAAATTCTTGCCATAACTCAAATATAAGGGATATGAGAAAGACATCGGCATAAATGGCATTTCTCCCACAACATCTCTCATATCTTCACTCAAACTTTTTTGATAGAAAACTTTGCTTCCGCTGGCAGAGTTTTTATACAATTTAGCATATTATTCAATACATATTCTCTGAACATATCTAGCGAAGTACTCTGATGGGAATACTCAGAAGTATTACGCAATACAGTTCAAACGAATGAACAAGTTCTAAGAGAAAATTTTGGAATATTTCGTGGCACATCGTTTAAGAGAGAGTTTTGCAGGAATGTAGAAATTTATTAATCTTGCCAACTAAATTTTTTTTACTAAGATTAACTTCATTATATTTGTCATTATATGTCGAAATATTTAAAAGAAGTCATCAAAAGAGAGAAAATCCACTAAACAATGATACAATTAGGAGAGATTTTGAATGCAACGATAGCTCAACAATTTATGTGCTAAGATGAGGAGGCTTACACGAACCTTACCCAATAATAGCTAATGGAACTATTCGAGGCAAAAATGGCATAGATTGCTAGGAAGGAAAGATTAAATGAATTAAACTATATTTATTGTAATTTAATATATTTTTAGACTTTTATCATATATTTCATTACAAAATATATTAAATGGCACTGTGAATGTCATTTTAGGCATTTGACTATCCTTTCACATTAATAAAATATATTTTATGTATTTTATATAACATAAATAAATTACCAGTAATATCATAATTTTGAAATGAAATTTCATTTACTGATAAATAAGGCAATTTGAAAGACATTTACTCTGTTTCATAAAAACTATTCTCCTGAAAATATATTTTAAAATTAATAAATTAATGAGGGGGAAAAATAAAAATTAATTTTTGTATAAATAAAATAGAGTAGATTGCTCTCATTTCGAAGTCCACGTTTAATTCTAGGAGCCTTTTATCATATCATATCTTAGTTATCATAGTTTCAAATAAATCTGTCTTCTAAAAATCTATGGTAACGATCTACATTCTGTTGTTAAGTGATTCTCTGGTAAAAATTAACAAACCAGTGCAATAAACCTAACCAGAAATAATAAGTGCCCTTCAAATTATTCGATGGGAAACATAGGCAATCCTTTTTATATAAACAAGTTAAAAGAATGGTCAAAAAATACAACAAAAACTAAAAATAATTTTCAATAATTTTCAACTTCGAGAACAATAAAACATAATTTTCAGAAAAATCAAAAATTTCATTTCCTGTTACCAGTTTAGTCAATCAAGAAAAAGGTTAATACAAAAGCAACTTCCAATCTATCTGAGAAAATATATATATATAAAGCCTGCAGCGAACAGATGAATGCTTTTTCTTCTAACAGCTTTTACTATTACCGATTAGACTGGTTTTGCTAAGAAGGATCGTAATCGTGGCAATCTATGCGAACATTCCAGTCTCCCTCGATTATGTTCATATCACCTTTCGGTAGAAACGCTAATAATTAGAGTTAAACGCTAATTATCTGCATAGAACTTATATTCACCACGGCCATCTGCGTACAAAGTTGATAAGCAATGGTACTGATGACCGAAATAATGCAAAATTTCCCTTGAAGCGGGTAAAGACAATACGGAAATTTACCGGTTTCCACTCAATTCGAATGGACCAAGCATGACGATCGCTATTTCGCCTCGCGTTAACCGAAGAAACATAATGATAGAGAAAGTGGTTCTGCCTGGAGTGAGGTTTAGTAACTGCTCGAGAAGTAAGAAAAATAAAAATAAATCTTTGACAGACAGCGGACAACCACACGATATTTAGAAAGAATATGGACAATGATCGCTCGGCTTGCAACGCCCATAAGCATATAATGCCCATTTTGATGCTCCACATTGCTATGACTAATACACGCCCGCAGAGAGTCATTTCCCTTGGCAATAATTACCATACTCGGGAGAACATATTTTTGGATCGCTTTTCTGTGCCAGGATTCCTTACTCTCCGCATGCACTACTGGGTTTGGGGTATCGCACGTATGCAGACGAAAGCCTTTCACCACAGAGTCATTTGGGGATCGTAAGTGGGTCCGTAAAGGTCCATTACGATATCGTGGCAGATTTACTTTCAGTCAAAGAGATAAAATACACAGAGAGATAAAATTAGGTAAAATAAAATAAAACAGAAAATAAAAAAAAATAAACTTGAAAAAGCAAAAATTACCTTAAAAAAAATTAAACTAAATTTATTTTTATTTTTATATTAGTTTTAATGCCACTATTTTTACTTGAATTTTACTTAATTTTAATTTTAATTTTTAGTTTTTTTTAATTTTTATTTCAATTCTTTATTATTAAATTTAAATTAAGAAAACAAAAGATTTAGACCGTTGTTTACAGAAATTCTAAAATATTCCGCGAAAAAATAACAAAGCAGAATAGAATTATAACCTAAAAATTAAAAATTCAAAATTTTTATAGCATATTTATACAAACATTCTTTCTTTCCTCAGTTTTTTTCTTCTTTTTCCTTCAATTTTTCCTCCCTCTCTTCCTCCTCCAATTTTTATCTCCTTTAATTATTTAAGAATAGAAGAATAGAACATGTAAAGCACAAAACCATGTTTCCTCGTTCTTTGCTCAATCTCATGCACCTATTGCTCTTTCTCAGGAATGTTTGTGTTGCATCATTGATATCTATGTTTTCAGTTGCCGTCTCTCATAAGATCGCATTACATATAATTCCTTTACTATATCTCTCTGTATATGGCCGTCTATCTGCTTCACTATATCCACACCAATGAAAAACTATTTGGCACCATATCAGATAAGATAAAAATTGATTCGAAAAGGTTTAGGAAGAATTATAGATAAATTGAAGGCTTGATTTTTGGATTCAGTGAAATACTGCAGGCATTCAAGAGGTATACAAGTCAGTTCACATTATTGTTATATATCTCGAATACAATGATAGTATTTCAGTCATTCTTGGTGACAGTTGTGAAGCGAAGGAGAATGGGAGAAGCGAAGTGATAACGAAAAGTGCAGCAAAGGTACACAGGATCTATGAATAAAATGATAGTTTTTCCGTCTTATCTACTAATTGCTGATAAAATATCTACTTTATCAGTTCATCGGATTGAGGAAATAGCAAATTTTAAATACTTTCTACTTTCGAAATACCAAATAGCAAAATGCCAAACGGAAGGCGAAAGACGAAACTGCAACAGTTTCTGGAAACATTTTCTTTTATCAAGTGAAATCTCTACGAAATCTCCACGAAACATCTATTTGGCTGCAATGTGCACCATGGGGGTTTAATACTGCCAATGTGAGGGGAAAAATAAGGGGAAAATATTAAAGAACCAACCATCGTTGACCAATCATGCCATATTCGACGAACGTATCCCATAAAATCCCACATAGCTGCATCCAAACTATCTAAATTCACAGTATTGTCGAAGAGAGTTGCCTACGCTGATTATTATTCAACGCCAATCGCAAGAGTTGACATATATCTCGCTATTTGCTAAACTCAGCGGTGCCAAAAGCGAGGAGGACCAATCAAAGACACGGTGTAAACGATCTGATATATGAGCTAAAGCGATGAAAAAAAAAGGAAATGGATTCCGTATTGGATCGAGTGAGCCTAACTAGTGAAGATGAAAGCTGTTAGAAGAAGAATTTTAAAAAAATCAAGAACGTTCAACTTTTCGCTTTCTTTGCTAAACAAAGAGGAATTCTTTTGGGGCGCAAATAAATTTTTATTTAATTTTTGGTGATAAAATTAAAGAAGAAAAGAGCGACACAAAGGGCGATGGTGACCTTGTTTTTGTGGAACTAACGCACTAATTTATGGCTCAGTGGTTTCGAAAGGTCGGGCCGCAATACTGGCTCGCTCGGCCGCGAATTCGATACCTTTTTGAATTTTTGAGAAAATTTTATAATTTATTTTTCAAAAAATTTCAAAATATTTCTAATTATTGAATTCCCTTCAGTTTTTTTTACATTCGATTTTCGTTTTGTTACGATTTTAAACGAATTAAAATTGCTTCTAATGAAAAATAAATAAATAAATTCTTCGAGTTATTTTAAATTATTTCAAAGTCACAAATTTTTCATTTCATCATTAAAGTAACCAAACTGAATTGTTTTTAAGTCCATTAATTGCTTCGATTCCCCCTTTTCTAATAAAATTCTGAAGAAAAAAAACCCAATATAAAAATCGATCAATCAGCAATAAATCTATAAATTGATTTCGAAAAATTTCAAAAATTAAATTGGCTCTCGAAAAGATTTCTTTCGTTCTGTATTATATGTGCATTCAGATCGATTCGCTTGTATAAGTTGCTTTTTTTTTAAAAATGTTTTTTCGATTATTCGACGATTGGCTTTTATTCAGTACTCTTTTTTTTCCTTTATTATAAATAATGATTATAAAATAATATTTAATTTTTATTCATTGCTTTTTAATATTTAATGCAATAATAATTAAGAGAAAATTTAAATTTATAAATATTTATTTTAAAAAATTAGTGAATGAAATTAATTTTTATATAAAATAATTTAATAACTTACATAACGCATAATCATTAATTATTTTTAATTGGCATTTTAGAATATTAATTTTCGAGAAAATGAGAATTCTTATATTTTTTCCGAAAAAGACTTTGAAAGCGGTTTGCATGTGAAGAAAGGAAAAGAAAAATTATTTTTTTGTTCATTTATAAAATTATATTATATTGGAAATGAATTTTAAGGAAATTTACTGTTGAATTGTTTAATTTATTCTTGTTTTTATTTTATTTTTATTTTATTTCATTTAGTTTTTTAAAATTTATAATTTATTATTTATAGAAATTTATTATTTATTATTTAAAATAATTTGAATAATTTTAAAAATAATTTTTAATTTTTTCTCAAATTTTCAATAAAAGTTATCGATTTAATATCGCTTTTGTCTCAGCGGTTTCGTTTGTTTGCTTAGGAAATGGACTGTTTTATTTGTTATAAAAATTCAGTGACAAATGAAAAATTGATAAGAAATTTATGAGTGTTAACATTCTTTGGATTCCACATTTTGTTGAATTGTTGTGTTTTTTCTTGGTTTTTAATTTTTTATTTATGGTATTTAAAATGAATTTATTTTAAGCATATTTATTACTTGAGTAATTTTGTTCAATAGATTCACATTTCGTTTAAATTTTTGGTAGTCAAATTTTCTTCTTCACAGATTTCAGTTGTTTCATGTGATATTTTCCAGCTGAAAATAACAAAATTTTCGATCAGAATGCCTATAAAATCACGTATTGATTTGAAAAAACAAGAAGCTGAGAGACTTCATGGTATTTCTATATTTTTTTTTTAGATTTAAAAACACTTTTGCAAATTCGTCATTTTCATTTATACTTTAAGCTAACAAACTAACTTTATTTTAAATACTTTTGTAAATCAATATTATTTGTCCTTTTTTTTCATTTTATTCAGTTATTATTTTCATTTTTATAACTGAATAAATTCCATTATTTAGTTAAATTTTATAAAAAATATATTGTAAATATTTTATAAATGTAGTTCGAATCAACAATAACTTTTATGAATATTAATATGATAATTGCGACATTGGCTGAAAAAATTCGCCAATATATAAAAATTTTCATTACATCTGTGGTTAATTGCTCTATCGATTATGTGGCTAAATTTTAATTTTAATAATTTTCGCTTTAAATTTTTTTTAGCTTTGGTGGTTGAACTGCTGCGTGAAGATGAAAATAAATATTGTGCAGATTGTGAAGCAAAACAGCCACGTTGGGCGTCATGGAATTTGGGAGTGTTTTTGTGCATTCGATGTGCTGGTATACATCGTAATCTTGGTGTTCATTTAACTAAGGTATTTCTTCATTATAATTTTTTTTTTTGATAATTTATGAAGGATTTTTAGTTATTTAATTTGTTGCTTGAATTTTGACGGATTCTTTAAAATTAAAGTTTTTTTTTGTTTTTAGTCGATATTTATTATTTATTTGTTTCTTCGACAACATTTTTATATTTGCCGTTTGAGATTAAATCTGTCAATCTTGATTCATGGACTGCTGAGCAAGTGCAAAGCATGCGTGTAATGGGAAATAAGCGAGCTAAACAAGTTTATGAGGCTGAGTTACCTGAACATTTTCGAAGACCTCAAACAGATCAAGCCCTAGAATCATTCATTCGAGCTAAATATGAGCATAAAAGGTACATCATCTTTTTTTCATCTTTTCTGAATAATGTTTTCTGAATCTTTTTTCTGAATAATTTTGAATTCATTGTTGTCTCAGATCTCAATCTTATTTCAAATCTTATAGGCTCATAAATTTTTGTTTTCGCTCAATTCACCCTTCTGCCATTTTCAGGTATATATTGAAAGATTGGTCACCTCCTTGCGTCAACATCAATGATTTACCACCTCCTCCCTTCGATAAACGGCAAAATAGTAATTTTTCAAAATTTCAACTTTTTTTATTTCAAAATTTCTATCAACCTATTATGGCCTATTCCATTATAAAATCTTTAAATAGCATGCTTTTATTTGAATTATCAATGATTATTCCCTTAAAAAATATCTTTGGAATTGCTTAGATGAGTTTATTAGAGAAATATTTTTCAGCTTTATCATAGTTTTTTATTGCATTCTCAAGCAATGAAAAGTCCATGTAATAAAATTTTTATATTCGATGTTGTCGTGCATTTCGCTGAAAAACATTTTTTTCGGTCATTTTGTATATTTCTTCGTTGTTGTTTTATTTTTTGGATTTCCTTTAAATTATATATTTAAATTTTCGAGATTTACGATCAAGTGGCAGGAAGGCTAATTCACCTGGCAGTATAGCACCTCAGATCATGCCTCCAGAAAATGTGATCGACAGTACTGTTTCTCAGCACAATAATGTAGCCAATCTTTTGGATTTTGATAATGAGCCGGTTCCTGTTGCTGCTTTGGGCAAAGAACATAATCTTGTGAGCATTTTCTAAAATAATTGTTCTTATTCTCGTAAAAATCGATTTTTTTCAAGAATGTAAGGAAACTATGGAAAATCTCAGATAATATTATTATTCCAAGTAGATCTGATTTTTTACTCTAATATGCAGTCATATGTAAAATTGTTTTCAATATGAATTTTCATCTACTTCGATATTTACCAAATTTTTCAGCCTGATGATCTTTTTACTTGTTCAAATGAACTTTGGCAGAACAGTGATCCAAGTGTTGCTGGTGAAGCTGATGGGCTTGAAGATTTCGGGCCAATTGTTTCAGCTTCTACTACCCCAAATTTGCCTGAAACACATGGCAATTCTATTACCACTTCTAATGAGAACGAAAAAAGTGAAATACTCGAATCTGCTCACATAAATGATCTTGCTTCTCTTTGCGAACCTTCAGCTTCAGGTTTTTTAAAATTTTTATTGGTTGGCATTCTCTGCACATTTCTTTTTATAGGTACTTTTGGCAGTAATTTATCACTTATGAAATTTTTGGTAAATGTGAACTTTTCATTTTCATAATTCAGAAAAGAAGAGTACTTCTGATATTTTGGCACTTTTTGGAAATATGCCCGTGCGATTTCCTGCTCAGCAGAATCAGTTCATTCAGCGATATCCTATGGTAGTTTTTCTTACTTCACTTGTCTTTTTTTTATTCATTTGCAATTTTTTTATATGTCTGTATATAAATTTTATTTCTAATTTTATTTATTTTTTGTCAGCATTTCTGCAATGAATCAGTAATCATGCCATCTTGAAGACGTTTTATTTATCGGAAAATAAATTGTATTCTACCACAATTTTTTAAAAATATTTTTGCTGGATTGCTGGATTTAACGATTTTTGTTAGCCTGTTTTTTTATCAATTATTTCAGACAACGCATTCATCTAATATACCCGGTAATGTTCGCACTCCTATCCCAATTGCACAAACCCGACCAGAATTCAGTCAGCAAATTAGGCATTTTTCTCAAGCAATTAATAATTGCGATGCTAATTCCGCCATATTTCCCTTATCGCAACCAGCGTATGGATTTTTATCTGGTAAATTTTTTACGCTTCAAACGAAAAAATTTTTGAACGAAGCATTAGTTCCAATTTTTTTTCATTTTATTCCATCTTCTGATTGTCCTTTTTTGCATAACTTGTATTGGTTTAGGTGGAAATGTTCCACCTGTAGGAACTGGTAATTCATTCATGTCGCAGGAAACCGCAGCAATGTTTGCTGCTGCATCACCTTTTGCTAATTCTGCTGAAGTTAAAACATCGACTAGTAATAACATAAGCGGATTATTTATTGGACCATTAGATCGGCCAGTACAAGTAAGTTTTCGCCCTTTTAAGTGCAAAAATTTGTTGTTAAATTATTATTTCATTTAATTTAGTTAATTTATGCATCTCAGCGTCAGTTGCGATTTATCCATTTGAACATCAGTTACTATTTACGATTTATTAGACAGGATTTCTTTATCAATAATCGGCAGAATGGTGGAGTTGGTGTTGCTTTAACTGAATCAAGTCGTTCTAGGTTCCTGTTCTTTGATGGGAACCCTCAGAAATAAAATCCAAGTATCTATGGCCTTATATCTTTGATGCGGTGTTTCTATTAAATTAACAAATGGCACTTTAGCGAAGGAGTCTTACTGTAATAGTCAGTTAAAGCATATATAGCCAGAAATAAGGAAGAAAAGCATGAACATTTTTTATGCGTAGTTTTTCCAAAGTTTTTTTTAAATTTTTTTTTGAGATGATTTTCTAAGTAGAACTTATGAGTAAAGTGAAAATGAAATTGAAGTGAACATGTAACAAGAAATTTTCAGAAACCTTTGTCAGTTAGCAACAATTTTGTAGCAGATTTCACTCAACTTAATATAGGTGTACCATCTTCTACAGCCGTTGAGGGCAGTGTTAATGGAACATCAGCTGCAAATATTTTATGGGATTAGTTTTGTTTTAGCGGTGCATAATATACGATTTTTCATTTCTGCACTAATTATTAATATTTGTCGATAATTAATTTCATTATTCTCTACAATAAATTCATATTTATTATATTTCTTAATACATTTATGGTTATAAATGGAAATGTTAATTTATTTGCGACTTTCTTTGTGGATTTATCTAATCTAATTGTTCGAAAGTTTTAATCCCTTTCCATCTTGCTGTTCTATCTTCTATCTTATCTCTTATCTCTTGTTATCAAAGAATTTCAATTTTCTTTGAGTCTTTCTTTTTTTCCTTAATATTTCCTTTTGCCTGAGTGTTTTCTTGAATTTTTATGAAAAGATTGCGGTCATTTCTCTGATTTTACCTCTAAATGGTATAGAATATTCCATTTCTTCTTTTAAATTCATTTGTATTTATTTGTTTGAAAGTTGATTCGATCGCTAGTGATTTCTTTGAAAAATCCTTTAAATTTTAATCGTGATTTTTCTGTAATATTTTTGGTTGCCGGGTTTTTTTTTGTAACACAATTCGTTTTTTCATACTCATTCTTCATTTCTTTTTTTATCACTTTTTTTTCTGCTTTATTATTTATTGTCTTTTTTGAAATAGAAATTTATCCTTTTTCATCTTCAGCAATTCATTCATTCTTGCAGAAAATTGAGTACAGAAGAAGAGAGAAAATATTAAAAAATGTAAGTTTGATTAATCAATTATAACTTATTTCATAGAAATTTTATTTCATAGAAATATCAATTTAGGAAATTTTAAAAGAAAATGTTCTATGGGACGTGTCAAATGCATTGAGTGAGTAGAATTGATGGAAAGATAAATAAATCTGTGAAGTATCTATGTCAGCTTTTTCGATAGTTCGATAGCTTTGTACGAATATTTCAGCGTGTTTCATCAGTTGTATGATGGATTGTTTCGTAAACGAAATCAATAGGGAAAATTGGTTTTTTTTTTTCTGTCAATGAAATTTTCACAATAAAATTTTCTATTATTTAAAGGAAAAGAAATTTTTATCTTTAATTTTATTAGTGCATTTTTAAATTAAATGAAAAGCAATAAAATAAACTTCGTTAGTGATTTAGCAAATTTGCTTCTTAATTAAGTATTATTTTAAATTTAAAGAAAAATAAAAAAATTTCATAGAAATTGATAAATTTAACCAACAAATAACAAATAAAAAAATAAATAATAAATAAAAAAATTTTCGAATGATTAATTGTAAAATCGTAATAGCAGTTGAATGAAAAATAGAAAAAAAAACGATGCGTTGAAAATGAAAATGAAATTAGAAAATATCAATTTTTAGAAATTTTTTCAGATTTTTAGAATTCATTTTAGGCATTTTATTTTAATTTAATAATTTTATTTTTTAAAATTTAAAATTTAGAATCATTAATTATTTAATTTAGTTTTTTTAAAAATTTATTAGTTAATTTAAAATTGAAATTGCTATATGAATAGTGGTTTCCATTTTTTGGTAAATTTCTCGATATTAAATTTCTCGAAACAATATTAATCATTTACATTTCAAATTTAGATTAATAGATTGATAAAACAATTAGTACTGTGAATTTGAATTATTTTTTGTATGGCAGCTCGAGTTGGCCAAATTATCAAAATTATCACATACCAAGCTGTTACAAGTCAGTAGCTTCTATTCTTATTTTTGAAGTATCAAAGTCTAAGTAGTAGGTAATCCAAATTAGTTGTTGCAATTTCGCTATAAAAAATTGCCTTAAAAGGCATTTTTCAAATATAATTGTCTAGTTTTAGATTTACCTTTGGCTATACTAAATTTCACCGCAAATATAATTTTACTATTGGCCGTTTAATGTAAATGTAAATTGATTTAATGCAGAAAAATGCAAATTAGGGAGTTTAGTGAGAAAATCTATTTTTCCACAGCAACTTGCTTTTTTTTTCTGATTTACCCTATTTTATTCTTTAACAATAGCTGCCGAAAAAATTGCAATTTCTTAAAACCTATATAATTCTTCACTTGGTGAACTCCATTCGTTCGACCATAAAATTGATCGTAAATTTATTCGAATAAATTTGTACGCTAAATGGAGTATTTATGTACCGGTTTGGCTATAAAATGCACAAAATGTTTTGGGATTTTCCAAAATTGTGTTACTAAAGACTTTAATTTTTCATCGTTTCTAAACTCCATTCAAAAACCTCTTTTGTTGAATCTCATTCGCATAAATTAAATTGGCTGATTTGAAAGTCTAAAATTTGAGTGATTTTCCATGAAATGCGGCTTGACACATTCTTAACTGTGGATAGATGATTTAAAATTGATAGATTTTTCAGTAAAAAATTGGTAATTTATTTTTTTCGTTTTTTTTTTTATTATAAAAGCAATAAAATAAATTGTTCAGCCTAAATCAATTAGTAAAGAACTTATTTGCAAATTTGCGGATGAAAAGAATTTGAATTTGTTTTGAATTTCGAAACTGAACTTTTCCATTCAAATTTATTCAGGTCAACAATTAAAAATTATGGTTTTAAAAAATACCATCAAATAACAATGATAATTTTTTTATGGAAGGAATTTATTGCTTTGAATCTGAAGGTCAAGAGTAGATGAAATGGCTATTGTCGATCAAATAGTTTTGTTAAATCTTATTAAATAGATTAGTTAATGCTAAAATTCAGGTTTCATTTCAGCTGTTGAATGATTGATTTTGTTGCCATATCATTTTGGTATCAAAATGATTTGGCTTGGCTCAGTATCAATTTCTTTATATCAATTTTTATCAATTCCATGATACTTTATCGAAAATCATTTATATTCTTGACTTTTGGAATTTTTAAATTTTGGTTAATCGATTTTGAATTTTTTAATATATCGAATGTTAAACATAAAAAATAAATTTCAAATTTCAAAATTCATAAATCTTTTGCCTTAGGGCATAAAATTAAGAATATTTCATTGCATATATTAATCAGTTTATGATTTAATGATCATTTAATAGTTAACCGGAAGATTTTTGATTTTTGTTAATTTTCATTTGGTTTTCTTATTATTTTTAGTCGTTAATATATTTTTTGTAATAATATTTTTATGAATTAATTTGGCATTTTATTCTATTAATATTCGTCTAGCAGTACAATAGACTTAGACTTATTCATCATATTCATTATAATATTCATCACAATAGACGCTTTCATAGAGAATTAGTTCAGAGAACAAAGGCACATGTGGATTCCCAGAAATGTATAAAATTAATGTGAAGTTTATTCTCGACAACGAATGCTTTCGCTCTTTTTGCCTTCGTCAAACAAAATTTGCATTATGTTGCTCCGTTCGATTGTTTTCACATACATTCAGTTTATGAAAAAATTTTCAGTAAAAAATTTCAACATTTATTTTTCATATAAATTAGTAATTTAGAAATGAGAATTTTATAAATAATCGCATTATTCAATTCATCTGAAAAGAATGGAAAGTCAAAAAGTGCAGAAAATGCATTTCTAAGTTACAATTCAGAGTTATTACACTTTTTGTATGAAAAGGAAGTTGAGAAAATTGGCTCAACTTGCTCTAACAAAAATAATTGGATTTTTTACTTGAAATTGGAAATTTGTGACGCAATCCTTACTATCTTATCGTTTCTACCCAAATTTATTGGTTTCTTCATTTATATCTAATTGCACAATCATATTTTTAGGCAGTTAAAATAGGCAGCTTTTTTTTTGAAAAAAACTCTGGCGATAGACAAAATTTTGTTTCTTTTGTTCTTTGAAAATTGCATGCGGCAGGAAATTCAACAGCCTATTTATTTTGTCGAATTGAAATTAATTTTATATATGATCAAATCTTTTATGCCACGAAAATCAGTCAGTCAACAAATCTATTTATTAAAAATGTCATTAAAGTGAAGTAAGAAAAAATGACCAAAATTTTGAAATTTTAAAATATAAAAACTGTTTCAATTAATTTTTATTTTATTCATTTATGGCTAATAAAATGTCAAAATATTGCTTTTATTTGTATAAATTTCGATCATTCATAAAATTTTCGTTTAATCTATTCATTAGTTCCATAAAATATTTAAAAATTCCATTTTTTATTTAGCTTCTAATAATAATTATTTATTGAAAACCAGCCAAGCAGAGCGAAAAACACCATGTGCTTGCATTAATAACAACAGTTAAAATAACAAATAGTAAGAATTAATGATAAAAAAAAGAAAAAGAAAATATGACAAAAATAAACAATTTAAAAAGGAAGAGGAAATAAAGAGGGAATTACAGAATAATATAATGTAGTACAATTCGAATTAACTGTCTTATACATAATCGGATGGTAAAAATCGAGATTTCACACTTCCTGCATGATGTAAAACTTTTTAAATAATATCATAAATGATATTATCCAATCTTTTTTTAAAGATAACTAAGGATGGCGCACAAACTATATCATTCGGTAATTTATGCCAGTAATTAATAGTACGAATAAAGAAATCATGAGTTCTTAGTTTAGTTTTGGTATACATAGGTGTTAATAATTTTAGCTTATTAGTTCTTATTGGATTCAAATTTAGTCTAAAATTATAATATTTTGAATAATCTCGTGTGAAGTGTGAAATCTCGATTTTTACCATCGCATTATGTATAATACAATTAACATAACCATGTTGAATCTAATAAATATAAATTAAATCTTATTTAATTCGACGAAAAATCTTGTTTAATACTTAATTTTTCTTGTTGTTCCACAAATAAATCGCATTCATACTTTGGTGTTATAAATATAAATATTATTAATATAGAAAATTTTTAAACAACAAAATATTTTTATAAATATTTTTTACTTGGAGAAACTTTACTAGAAATGTATGGTTTCAGGTTTGATTTGATTTGATTTTTATCAATATTTTCATTTCGATTGCAAATTTGCAAGTCTTTTTATGTGTTTCAATCTATTCCATTTTTCTTTAAAAATCACTTTACATTATAAAATGTAACTGAATAGTATCCAATTAATGCCGAAATAACTGATTTAATCATTGAGTGTTCTTCAAGAAAATTAAAAGGACGGTTAATGCAAGATAAAGTTGATAGATTTTATCAGTCGAAAAAAAGAACAAATTTAAATAGTCAAATTCAGTTGATAAAAGGGAATGGGAAACGAACAAGTTCTTCATTAAGTTTAAATTCTAATTTATTTTCGTTCAATAATTGTTTCTTTTTTTGGGATTCTTTTGCATTGCAATGTTATTGGATATCTTTTTTAGAAGTCCTCACCATTACTGGTTAAACTCGCTCCATTGACTTGTCGCACTGGGCAATAGTGTTTTGGCGATAGAAATACAGGTGAGTCGCTAACGTCACTCGGATTTTTGTATAGAGTTACTCCTGCGCGGAATAGAACCTCAACATTGGCGCTTCCAATTGAGCAACAATACACTGGGCTATTCAAACCCTCCCCCCCTCTCCTTACTGGATATACTTGAATATGATTCAAAAAGATCCAGTTTAATATATCAGGCATTTGGTTCATTTATGGTCAATTGCTCACTATTATTACTTCCGCTATTAATCGTCGATTGTACTTTTTTATTTGATACAAAATTAGAAGTAAACGTTGGCATCCTTTTAATTCTTTAAAAAAAAGCTTTTTTCTTACCTCCCTGTGGGTAGTCATAATTATCTTAACCTCTGGTCCTCTATCAGAGGCCTGAAAGAGAGATTGAAAGTTCTGCACAATATCTCAGCTGTTCTTAATAGTGCGCTCTTCTGCATGGAGATCTGTGATGTTCCTGGAATCTTCTGAGGCCAATTTTCTAGTTTAGAAATCACAGTTCGAAGTGCTCCAATTATCGCTTTGACCTTTATTTTCCACATCTTCTCTAGTTCTTCTTTCAGCCCTTGGTATTTCTTTCCATATTCCATCTTTCTGGCGCTCCTGTCGCTTTCCATATCATTCACCAGTGTTGATTTGATTCTTATCTATTACCACGATATCTAGTTGATTGACCAATATCTTTTTTATCTGTTTGGAGGAGGAAGCCTAAGATCTTCGCCTTATTATTCTGTACAATTTTCTGAGGATTTCCCATTTAGTCTCTAAGGCAAGCAGATTTTCCTGTAGAAGATGATATTGTTTATGCTTTTCGGTCTTTGTTGCACCTGCTTGCATTTTACATCCCTTGTTTCTGAGGCATTTTCTAAGGGACCAGGGTTATCTTAAATATTGACAGTAATATTAATAAGCAAGAAAATTGCAGTAATATATTTTAATATATTGTATATTGTATTGAAATATTTTAATGGTCATTTTAATAGGAATTATTACGATGACCGGTCTATCAACTTATTGTTTTAAACGATGAGAATAATGTCATTTGATGCGTATTTTTAATGATATTTTTTTAATATTTATTATGCCGTTGGCTCTTGGCTCCCGCTCTTTTATTAACTTATTTCATATTGAATTCCTGGTAGAATTTATTTCCAGCCAACTCGCCTATTTTTAACTTACTTTTATGAGCTTCAAGTTCATTGGTGTTGCCGTATGGCGCCGGGCAGAAAATGGTTAACACTAAGTATTTCTATTTGAGATCTTTATGTTTGAGATCTTTTTTTTTTAACTCAATTGTCTGTTAATTATAAGTTTTTGCCAGAGAGTAATTATTTTGGGATAGAGGAAAGAAGTAGGTTCATAACCCGACATTATCACAGTGATAAGTTTCCATCTTGAACTTATATCCTCGAGGTGATAATCTAAACTGTAAGAATTTGACTATTTGGCCGCAAACCATTTGTAATATTGATAATTCCAATGGAATTTGCAAGAAAAATATTATATTTAGAGATTTTAAAAATATTTTTAAGAATTTATTTTCAAATGAAATTACTTTCCATTTATGCATTCTTTATTACAAATTCAATGAAATTTTTTTTTAAATTCATTGTTATAATTTTGCATAGATTTTCCATTGGTTTAATTTGTTTAAATTTCAAGAATTCATTTTGAATAAATTTTTTGAAAATTTTATTTAATATTCACTGCCTTTTATTTTTTATCATTGGATTCAAAATATGCATATTTATTGAAATTTTATTGAAAATGAATAAAATAAAATATTAGTAATATATTTGAAAAAAATAGTAGTAAAAATATTGAATGCATTTAAAAAAAAACAAGGCTCTGCAATAAAATTTTACGATCATCCATCAATATTTTTCCAATATAGTAAAAGATCTAATAAGATCTTAATGGCTTTTCAACGAAAAGCTTGAACTTTTGAAACCATCTATTTTAGGAAATTTATGCCTGAATGTTTATATTCAAATGAAAAAACCAGTTATCCATGCTCTTGTATGGATGAATTTTGGAGCCTTATGCATATCTGATTTAATAATACCGCAAATATTCAAGTTCCTTTATGATCATGAAAAAATATGTAAGTGATTTCATTTCTATATTCTACTAATTTCCAAACGATTTTTGCCTATAAGTCTATCAAGTTTGTATTTTTTATTCTTTGCGCTTATTATAAATATTATAATCGATGATTCAAATACTTATAACAATTATTAATTAACTTATTAGAAACGAATGCTTATAGTCGTTCCACTGAAAAAAAAAGAAGCAAGTATAAGTGCTTAAGTGGCTTCTTCCACTTGAATTTCATTAAGAAAATCATTTCCTAAATTTTCAAATTTGTTAAATTTTTTCATCAAATTTTCATCGAGAAATTGAGAAAATAAATTTTGTTTGATGCAAATTATCATTTCAATTAATTTTATCAACACTGAAAAAAATTTTATTTTGTGAAACTTTTCGCATCAAAATTAAATTAAAAATTATTTCGATAATATATTCAATATTTATTTTTTTATTCTGCAAGTTCATAATTTTGTTTTTTTTTTAAGTTCATTCACCATTAGTGGTTAAAGTCGCTCAACTAATTTCTTGAACGAGACAAATATGCCACAGAGTTTCTTGACGTAGATAGAAATGCAGGGTGAATTGCCAGCATCACTAGAATTTTTGGATAGATTTGGTCCTGGCAAGAAATAAATAGCTCATTAATAAATATATATTTTCCCATATCTCTGAAATCATTTTTTTCTATTTTTCTATATTTTCAAATAAATTAAAAAATTTCGACAAATATAAAATTTACGGAAGTGATAAAATAAATAATGGAAAAGGTTGGGTATCTTTTATCACTTGTCATCTTCTATCATCAAAATTCCTCTCCATTCACTGAACCAATTGGTTTGAATTTCATTTAATAATTCAGCCTAATTTAAGGTGGCGATATTTTTTTCGATTCTAATTGGCTTCCGTCACATAAAGCATGTAAAATAAATTGTCAGGTTTGCCAATTGTCAGGTTTTTTCTAAATTTTTTTTATTTATTATCGAAATTTCGATCTTTTTAATTATAATGAATTTTCATTGTATTGATTATTATCTAAGCGAGAACGATTTCTCCTTAGAAAATGAATATTTCATCTATGATTTGATGCAAAATCGCCTTATCATACAATCATCCTTTTTTTCTTATTCCATAATTTATTTCTGTTATTTTTGCGCTCAGAATTTTGCTAATAATTCTGCTAATATCAAAATTTATTTGTTGTTTTACAAGTATTTTAGTAATACTTTTAGATTACTCGAGAATTATGTATGAGAAAAATTGAAGCAATTGATATCGAAGAAAAATGCCAAAAATGTTCGTTTAATTAATTAATATAATTACAATCATAAACATTTGTATTTTTGAATATTCTAGAATTCTATGTAAAAATTTATGCAAATTTTACAAATATATAGGCAGCCTGTTTGATTTTTTTAGTGCCCGAAATATGTTCAATGCAATTGGAAGTGTTTTTGCGGGAAAACTTCGTTGAAAAATCGACATTTAATGAGAATTTGGTTACACATGCATATGCAAGAGAAAATTTTGAAACTCTTCCTCAAATTTCATTTAACGCAACTTTTTACGATAGGAATACAGTATCTAAGTCGACTATGCAACATCAACATGTATGATTTTTTTGCATGTATGAATGTTGAATCAACCATAGAAATAAAATAGTTTTATAATTTTTTCTCGATTCATAATTTCTTTGCTTTTTCTGAACCATGCAAAAATTTATAATGAATTTTTTTAAAAATGAGTTTCATTTCTGGTTAGGCTCGCTCTACTGTCTTCTTTGACTAGACAAATTTTTGCCAGGTAATCGTTTGATGTTAGAACAAAGGGTGATCCAACTTTTTGAAAGACTAGCCTGTTCTTGACGGGAATGAAACCTTCTCGTAGCATTAACGAAGTGAAAGCAATAGCGCACTTCAGCCATTGGACCAGTTTGATTGATTTTTCTTTAGGAACCGAATCCCAAGTTGTATACTCCGAAAAAATACGTTGGTGCTACATCAGAGCCGAAAATGAGTGGAATTTTCTTTACAACAGTTGAATTAGCAGTTGATCATACTCCAGCTTTCATGCCGAAGGCGAGAAAGGAAATTGTTCAGGCCAATCGTATTAAAGCAACAATTCTTAAACCATCTACGAAACATTCTCGAACGACGATATCTTTTAAAAATGGAAAGAAATTAATTCCAGGATATGTGCCCATACCAAATTCTATTCCTTTACAATTGGCTTTCAATATTGATCTTTTAACAAAGGCAAAAAGCTTGAAAATGCCAAAAACGAAACAGTTCATCCAGTCAAATTTTGATTATAAAAAATCAAGAGTCACTAATGCTTTTTCATATGGACAACAATACAATTATAGGAATAAGTCGAGGATGAAGGAAATTGAAGACAGCAATAATATCGCATTCAGCATATCAAATGATAATCATAGATCACAAACTGGAATAAATCACCTCAGTTTTCAGCCTCACAAGTGATATTACAACGCCGTTATTATTTGTAGTTAATAGAGTGATCGACTGCTTAATTTCTACTGTATCCTAGAGTTTTGTATGTAGCTTCTATATTCTGCTTGCATTTCACCAGGTTCAACTAATTCAATTGTAAAATCGAATCAATTATTCCAATAAAAATTAACCCGAAGTCAAGAAAAAGAGGAGGGATAAAAATTCGCAATTCGCTGAGTTGAGATGGTTTAATACAATAATTTTCATTCATAGTACCACTTTCTCTGGTAAAAAAAATGAATGAACAATTTTTTTCATAAAGTTTCAGGCAAAACTTACTTGTGAAGTACCCCAAAAAATTGAAACCTGAATATATTTCAACATATGTTCGACCTTCAGCAGCTTTATATGATCATCGCATTACCGTAAAATTTTGCCGAAATTTCTTCCAATTTCTGAACCAATTTTTTTAAAAATTATTTGCAAAATATAAGCTCTTGAAAGTTATAGGGTTTTAAGGTTTTTAAGATATAAGGCAAAGTTAAGAAATTGAACCTTTATCGTACGGAATTTTTCAAGAAAAATAAAAAAATTCAAAGTTTCACTTTAACAACATATTTGTTACTTTAACATAGTAGTAACGTGAAATGACTGGTTTGCCTTTAAGAATTTAGAATCTTCAAAATTCGATGACAATTCAAATTAATATCCCATTATGTTGTTCCTCCTGTGCTGTTATGGTAAATCTCAAAACTTCAATAAATTTTTCCATAAATAAAATAAATTCATTTCGAATATTGTGCAAAATTTTCGTAAATGAATAAAATTTATTTCAACTTCTTTTATAATAATTTAATATAATTTAATATAATCTTTTATAATAATTTTATAATAATTTAAAATTTTTGAAAATTATAGACAAATACTTCGATGAATTCGATGGAAAGTTTTGTTAATTTATCTTCCAAAATTAAAAAATTATCAACTAATTATCGAACAAAACAAAATCAGAAATTTTTTCCAAGTATGTTTTAAATATGAAACGCCGTTATTGGTAATTGCTTAACAAGTTTATTTAATTATTAATAAGAATTTCTTATTAGAGGAAATTTAGATATCCCACTAATTGTATAATTATATAAAAAAAAAATTTAATTTGAAAAATTTCTCAAAATATAATTTTTTGAATAAAAAATATTGAAATTTTTAAGCATAAACTATTAATTCAAAAATGTATCTTACCACATTGTCATTTCATCAGTAATAATTGGGCAATTGCAAATCTTACAATAATCTTTAAATGATAGAAGTTTTGAAGGAGATTATACGAGGAAATGCTGTCAATGGGTTTTAGATGGCTTATGTGATCGCCACTGGCAAAAAATAAGAGTTTTATGCCAAAAGTCGTGTGGGACAATTATTTGCTCTGGTAAATTCATGTCTTATTTTAATAATTTTTCTTTTGCTAGCTATTAATAAAACATGATGTGGAATCCTTTCATTCGCTTGTTTTTCTTGCAATTTGCAGTACTGGTTTCGGTTATTTTACTGAAGATATTTCCAAGCCTCTCGAAAATCTCTTCAACTCACTTCTTTTTTCGTCTTATAAGCGTACCTCAAAATCAGGATTTGATTGCTCTTCCTCATCTTTATTCCATCCACAGAGCTTTGTAAATTGCAAGATATGCTTCAATTTTTGTAATTGAACAAGAAAAATATGCCTAATATAGGCCACTCTTTCAACATGATTAATGCAAATGGTATTTGAGCGAAGGTGAATGCAATCATCTGAGACTGTGTCGAATGTCGAACATGTTGGTTAAAAAGTAATTAAATAATATGATCTCCGGCACCATCCCAATCTTATTTTTTATACTTTTTTATCGCCTAGGAAAAAAGATTAGATTTATAGCAGTTTGAATTTAGTCAAAACAATATGTTAATATCCTATTTTTTATCCACTAATTATGTGGAAAATAATAAAATAAATAAATAAATAAAATAAGTAAATAAGAATATAAATTATAAAAATATATAATTCAATTATATGCTGAAATTCCTTACTCGATGTAGATCTTTAATCAGGTTGAATATATTTTGGAAGAATTTCAGTTGTGGAAGGAGTACGCTCGTGTACTCGAATAATTGACGTAGATATCCATGAATGCTTAGCAAAGAACGATTTTAGAAGGTCGTCAAGCTATCATAAGAAAGGTTTTTTTAGAGATTTTTATCTTAATATATTCGCAAATCATTCATGAATGTCAACAGCATTTTTTTTTCTGACTAAATTTCTCAAATAAGATTTCTCAAAATTAATGATTTTAAAATAATATCAGAATATAATAGCAAATAATATTAATAAATAATAAATAAATAATAACAAATAATAATAATCAATAATAATGATTATAATAATATATAATAATAAAGGTAAACAGCAAAGGTAATCAAAAATAAACACATGGTGGTTCAAATGAATTTCGAAAGCGTTAATGAAATTCATGATACATTGCATCGATCAATCAAAGATATGACATTTTCCAGAAAATCTTTCAGGATGAGATAACGATCTATTAACGTCGTATATTTTGTTGGCGAAAATCGCTCAATGATTTTGGAAATGTTAAATAGAAACAATTTAAACAAGAAAATTAAAAATGAAAACTTTCTCACATAGTTTTTGATTTAAAATTTTGAAAAACTACTTTAACGCCTATCAGATAGCCGCACAATTTAAAAATTCTAGCAGTTCCAATTTTACATGCTTCGATCTCGTTTTGGTCAGTGTTGTCCAGATTTGGTCAAATAAGAATGAAACAATGAATACTGTAAGAATGTATTTATTATATTTATGTATCATTTTATTTATATTGTTTATTGAACAAATAGAATGCTTAACCTTGACGAGAAAAACTAACCCATCTCTATCCATGTCATGGAAAATGCTATGAGATTACCCAATGAAATTAAGAGTTTTTGGATTGCAATGATGAATTTATATTGTTTAAAGCAATGATATTAAAAAGATAGCTGTACAATTTAAAAATTACAATTATACGAAATTTTATTTTTTCGGCTAATAATATAATTTTTGTACAACAGTTAAAATTAAAATAATAATTAGATAGGAGTTTTTATAGATCTATTAGGTTCACTAGAAATCTCCTCAGGATTCCTTCATCATTATCAAATCATTATTACCAGTATCGGTCCATCAACCTGTCAATAAACAACGTCAATTCGAATATTCTTTTATCACAATTTATGATAAATTATGATAAAAGAGTTTAGGAGATATGAATTGATAGATGTACAAAAATTTCCTTCTTATAGCCAGCGAAATTCCTTGACAAAGATTAATTGAAATGATTTTAACGTCATTTTCAAAGTAATTCGTATAGCGATGTGGCTGCTCCAGTTTTATTAGAACTGGAAAAATAATAAACCAGGAGACGGATCATCAGCTCTTAATTTGTTATATTTATGCAATTATGGCCAGAAAAATTAACCATAAAAAACTAAATTTACAGTCGACAAAGTCAACATACATTGTAATTTCGAACCGCAAAATAGTAGAATAGAAGAGTAGAATAGTATAATAGAAGTTCATTTATATACAAATTATACAAATTATCTTCATTAAATCAGCTTATATGCATCAGTCGAAGGAAATCAAAGAGCATTGTTTTCGGTTGTCGACAAATCTTCAGCTGTAACTTCTTCTAAAATATTTGGATTCGAAATTCTGAACCTATATAATGGCACTGATTGATTCACACTTAACTGAAATATCTCACAATAATCGTATAAAATCTTAAAATTTGTGTAATATAAAATTTTTTCAAATTTTTTTTAAAATTAATTTAAAGAAAATAAGAAAAAAATGACACAAAGCAAATCGCTCTTTCGTGATAATTGTTTTTTTACATAAAAGAAATTTTTTAAAAAATATAATAATGTTTTTTAAATTTACTTAAATAATCGGCCTTTTTTTCTTAAGAGTCCTCATCATTACTGGTTAAACTCGTTCCACTAGCTTGAGTAATATGTCAGGGAGTCCCTTGGTGATAGAATGATAGATGAATCACCATCATCACCTGGATTTCTGGACAGGTTTATTCCTGGGGGGAATAGAACCTTAGCATTAGAATTGAGCAACAACCCACTGAGCCACTCTACTTATTAAACAAACGACCATAATTATACAAATATTCAAAATTTTTTTGCATTATGATTATTCAACTAAATTAAAAGAATACTACCTGATTTTCGTACGTTATTGATGCATCTCTTGATGTTGATGAAGTTGTAGATATAAAACTTTGACCACTTATACTTTGATTCATTCTTGATCTGAATTTGGAATTAACTAAGTTTGGAATTTACCGAGCATTAATCTATATCCATTATATATACCAACTTACGCAAATAAAGAAAAAATCTACAGACAAAAATCGCCAAAATATCATTTTATGTATAAATGAAGATTTTTAAATTAGTAACATATTTTAATTTAAAACTTAAAACTTACCTATATTTTTGCTGTTGCCAGATGTGAAGACGCACATATAAACTTTTTATAAAGAACAGACTGCAAAACAATAGCATAATTATAAAGAATGCCAATAAAGTAGTTAAAGTTAGGGAATTCAAAATCGACAAACTGGGTGCAGTTGTTTCTTGTGTACATGTTTCATAAATCGTCTTACTAAAGCCGCTTTCCAGTAGAATATATACCAAGCAGAAAGTGTAATTCTACAATTCGCTTTGCTTAAAATCAAAAATCACAAGAAAGAACAAAGTAATTGATAATGAAATAATTGCCCCTAGGGCGGTATATTTAAAAAACGAGCCTTACTTGGTTAGGCTTGAGCCTCATAACGCTATAACTGAGCCAAGGATTGTGTAAAGATAGTTGGATACTACGGCCTGCCGCACTACTTAAGTCTTTAACAGTCAAATAGAGATTGATGCGGTAAGATGCTTTAATTGCCAAAGAGCCATTCCAAGCAAGTGCCACATAATGTGATCCGATCTGCAAAAATAGCTATATTTTCTGAATATAACAGGCGGCGATCGTTTTCGTAAGCCGCTTGTGTAATCTTAATATAACATTGATTTTAGATTTAGGCTTCCATTTAAAAAATAAATTTGTCAATTAAAAAATTATGTAACATTTCGATAATTTCCATGAGGTTTGGAATGTCGCTTATGACGACAAAGAAAAATATAGGATCAATGAACTCAGAATAATTTGAAAGTCTATTTAGAAGCATATAAAGTGGACATCAATGGCTAGCACGTCGCATTAATAGTCAGAAGAGATTTTGAAAGTATAGGGTTGACCAGCGAAATATAGGCATAGACGGTGGAACAAGGAGTGGTTTCAGTTATTCACAGGTGTAGTGCCAAATCGATTGGCCTTATCTTTAAAGCCAGTGGAGCCAGTGGAGTCTAATCAATAGTGGTGACTATTAGAAAAAAAAAAGCTTTAAATCTAACCTCTATAGAATAAAGGTAAATTATTGGTTTAAGTACATTTAATCGGATCGTTCGATGAGAAGTGTGAAGATTCCTTCTCACTGAACATCTATAATCACCTTCATCATCCATAAGAATCACATCAAAGCTAAAAATATAAATTAAAAATTGATAAATTTAAAACAACAATATTTCAAATAAAATTAATTCAATAGCTAACAATTCGATGTTTTATATACAACAGTTTCATTGACTTTTACTAAAATATCAAATATTTATCAATATTTTCAATATCGATATTTATTAACGAATGATTATTATTTATTTTATTATGTGAATTTCGCTATTATATCAACGAATTAATTTTGACTGTGAGAAATATGAATAGTAATTAATTCATATATAAAAGTAGTAATATTAGTAAAATTTCTCTAACCGAATTCGTTCTTTAGTTATAAATATTCGTGGTTGATTGGTTTGCGAGAAAGAATTAATATTTTGTGGATCATTCACGGCTAATGGAAAAAGATCATAAATATTAGCTGGCTTTGAAGGGGATAATTGCTAAAAGAAAGACAATTATTAAAATTTAAAATTTTAAATAAAACTTTTGAAAAATAAAAAATTAAAAAAATATTAAATATTAAAATACTTTTATTAAGAATAAAAAGAAATAAATATAAAAATCGAAAAAATTAATCATTTATAGGGGAAGAAATTTATTAATTCATAAAAAAGGTAATGAAAAAATTTAAAAGAAAAATAAAATTTTGGTCGTTTTTAGTAAATAAAATTACCGAGAAATGTTGTGGTTTTTCTTCGCTTTGTTTTACCAGTTTTATATTAATCAGTATAAAAAATAATAAATATAAAGTATAAAGTAATATTTGCCAAAAAACGAGCTTTTAATAAATATATACTAATATTGAATTTTTTACCGTTGCATTGTTCGCAATAATTTCTGTTCCGTTTGGAAACCTCCAAAGAACAATATCATCGAAATTTCTGGATGCACAATATAGAGAAAAATATTGCCCAACAGTAGCTGAAAGCACTTCACCAAATGGCACAATCGGTTCTGGCCGACAAGGTTCGTCGATTTTTTCTATGGATTCTGATAATCTGAAGGAGGAGTTTTTTTTTTCAAATTTCTTCCATATTTTTTATCTTTTTAAACTAAGATAATTATTTTTATCATATTGCGAAATTTTTAAGAAAAAGAATCATATTATAGCACCAATTCTTAAATCATACACAAAGGACTATTTAAGAATATAAAATCAAAAATTGCCATTAAATATGCAATAAAAATTTTTAAAATTATCAAACAAACCTTTTCCGCGTACCTTCGAGCATAAAACAACTAGCATTTGCAACATCTATGATATGATCTTGAAATTTTTTTACCATTTTTGCTACGCAGCCACATTGAAATGGATTATCATTGATAGCAATTTTGGGAACTGTATATAAATGCTTCGGTATAGTCTCTAACTGCGTATGCGTAAGAATTATCCTAAAATAATTTTATTCGATTAGAAAATTGAAATAATTCGAATAAAATTTCTTTAACTGCCATAATTGTAATATATGATATAGCATTTTTTGATAAGAAAAGCTCAAAGAATTCGTTTCAACAACAAAGAATATCTCTCAATTTGCTCATTCATTTTTCAATAAACGAGATTTTTGCTTCCATATGAAAAATAATTTAAAAATGCGATTTAGAAATTTGATTAGAGATTTCTAAATCAACAATGGAAAAATAAATATTACTATTACTTAAATACAGAAAAAATATTAACTTCAATTTTCCTTGTATAGCAACTTAAGGCAACTTTTTTACCTGTAAAGCAGAGTATTATTTGCAAACGCTTGTGGTGAAATATAAACTAAAGACGATGCCCAACTGAGATCAATTAATGTAAGATATGGTAATCCAAAAAAAGCGTTCGATTCAATGAGTCGTAATGAATGACAGTTCGATAGAACCAATTCCTTTAACGAGATTTTCAAAATTTAAATAATTTAATTTAATTATCATCATCACGATTTATTATAGGAAATTTTAGGTCTATGTAAATGGATAATTCTGATAAACCACTTAGGAAAAAAAGAATCGAATAATTTTCTTTTAATTTTTCTTTAATATTTAATCATTTTTATTTTACATTTTATTGTTTTTTTATCTTATAATTGTTTGAATAATTAAAAAATAGAAGCAGTTTGGTCAAAAGTAAATAATTATCACTACTAGGATATCAAAGCTATCCAAAAGATTTGCAAAATGTTCCGAAACCAGTCGAACTAAAAATAATCCATTTGCCCTTTTCGTCATGAAAATTGTTCGAATCCATATGAAATCAAAATAAATCATATATCACATATATTAAAGTATTATTATAAATATAGTATTATAAACCATTATGAACGTAAAAAACACCTGTAAAACTGGATGAACAAAATCTCCATCGAGAATCCTGTCGAATGCATTACCACTAAGATTCAAAGTACGCAAACCGACGAGTTGTCGCAAATCGCCCGCAGGCACGTTAATAAATTCATTATAGGATAGGTCTAACGTTTGCAGCTTCAAATTGATCATATTTTAAAGAAGCAAAATTCACAAAATGTTTTATAATACTTAACTTTTAGAAATTTCACAGTTCTTTGTTCAAGACAATTGTTGTTTTCTACATTCTTTTCATAATAAATTCTATTTTATAAAATAACCATTTTGCCTTTATTAAAGCAAATTTAAAATTTGGGGTTTTCCAAGTAGAATTTTGGAAAAATGATTAATGCATTGGCAAATTTTGCGAGGAAATTTGAATATTGAATAATATTGAAAATCAATTTTGTTAAAACAAAAATCGTTAAGCAATAACATCAATAAAACTTAAAGAACTTGAAAATGTCTCAGTGATGGAGAAAATTTAATTTCCCAAGATTCTTTTTTAAAAGTAATTTCATACGGGAATTTTATGAAATTGTGAGTTTTCGTAAAATTTTGCACAGCTTTTTCACAAAACGACAAATTTATAAGGCATATTTTCTTGAATAATTGAAGATAACTAGGGAGAATTTTCTCTAATGTAATTAAAATTTACCTGATAAAGTGGTGAGAACGAGTCATAATCGAATCTTTTGATGTGATTATAGGAGAGATTAATGGATCTCAATCTTAAAAATAGAATATTTTAATATTATTTCAAAATATCATTCATCATTCACCACCCGTAAATTCCTATAGTGAAAAAGCTTCATTCTCATAGTCGGTAAAGTAGTAATAGTACTAAAGTTAAACTAAGTTAAAGTAGGAATGTTTAATACTAGTTAGAATTAGAAGAAAAAACTTATTGAAAAATCTTATTGAATTAAATTTATTAAATTTTATTAAATTTTTTAAATTTTTTTTAATAAAACAAATCATATGCAAAAAAAAATTATAATTTCTAAAAATTATATAGTTATTATAAAGATTTTAATAACGCGTACTTTTGTGCGGAAAAAAAGTTGCTACTTTGAACATGAATAAGATAATTGTGACTAAGATCGAGAACTTCGAGATTTGGCGTAAATCTTAACATATGTTCATTGATAGCCTAAAGATATTATAAGAATACAACATTATAATCTCTTACTAATATTTTCGATATTTATGAGATTGCCTATGAGCAAAACATAGGCTTTTCTTAAAAAAATTTAAAGTATAAAAAAATATTTTCTTTGCAAAAAAAATAAAATATTTTACTGTTAAGGAATTATATGAAAGAATTAAACGCCGTAATTTGTATAGACGAAACGCTTCCCAGTCAATAGCACCGAGTCTATTATTACTAAGAATTATTTCTTCGATGTTTGGAAACATTATGAAAGCGTCACGATCAAGTGACTGAAAAAAAAACTTCAAGTAAGAATATTGTGAAATAAATAACTTCAAATAGCTTAGTTATTTTCGAATTAATCGTTTTTTATTTTATAATTTGAATATTTTTTCTTTTTTAAAATTTTTTCTTCCACTTAATTTTGAAATTATTTTGTTTTATTAATTTATTAATTTTGTTTTATTTATTAATTTTAATTAAAAATTTAATTTTTAAAAAAATTTTTTATTAATTAGAAAATTAATTTCCTCACTTCAAAATTATTTTTATTTAAATCGAGTCGAATGACATTTGGAAAAGAAATCATCTTCGGCGAATTGAAAATTGATATTTGATTAATGGACAAATCGAGATATCTAAAATATCAAAAATTTCTTATCAAATCTTTAATTATAAATATTAAATTTTTTTTTAAATTGTTATGAAAATCCACTAATTTTATTGATATTAATTTTATTAATCTTTGTTAAATTTTCGGAATTTAACTTTCATAGCTCTAATGCTATTATTTATTCTGCCTTCTTCAAAATTTAAACGGTATTTACTCGGCTCTTTCAAAATAAATAAAATTTAGCATAGTGCTTTAAATATTAAACAATTGATGGACTTACGATAAGCCAGATAATGTTGGAAATGATTTTAGACTAGAAATCGAACAATTGATCAATGAAAGATTATTCAATAATTTTGACAAATTTTCCAAATTTTTATCGGTGAAAATTTCATTGCCAGCTGGATGATTAACACAATAAACACTTATTGCTCCTATAATAAGTAAATTTTAAAAAAAACTTTTCACTCCAGTGCTGATAATTATTTTTATCACGACACTTAACGTGTTTCAAAACGAAATGATAACAATAAGAATAATTTCTAATAAAAATTCCCAAATCAAAGAATCACTGAGGAAAAAAATAAAAAAATTTTGGCGAAAAATTTTTGTGACTTCCTAGAAAACGAAATTCGACTAAAATATTTTTACAAAAGAAATAGGCTCGTTGTGATCGCACATAAATTTTTATTAACGAAGAACTCAAAAAGATGAAATTTTAAAATCACTAACCTTGACAAGTGCACCACTCAGGGCAATGTGAATTCACTTTTGCAAATAAAAATAAACATATAATTTTAATTAATAACATTATCAAATTTGATTCATATACGCCAAAAATTGATTATCCAAGCCATCTGTCATGTTCATTATGCAAATTCTTAAATATAATTTATTACACCATTTACAAATAAAATGATTATTTTCTTAAAAAAAATCGGCCGCTTATAATTTAGAAAAGTCATTTTAAATAGTCTTGAATTACAATGATTTCTGACGTTTAAATAGTCTTAAATAACAATGATTTCTGACATTTATCAATTTTCGAATGATTTTGTAGCTTTTGCATTTTTTAAAATTATTCGCATAAAAAAGTTGAATTTGATGGAGATTCTCATCGTTTTATTATTTGCTGCAGTTAATAATAAGATTTTAGTCTCGATAAAATAGAATTTTCAAGTCACAATCTGACCTGGGAATTCGAAAGCTCACCACTGCCATTTCAAAACTCTTTGATATTCTAAAATTTACATTTCATGAAAAAACTTTTAAAAGTGAATTCTTTAAATTCTTTAAATCCCCGCAATTTTAATATATTTTTAATAGAGAAATCTTAGAGGCCCATTTAAGTTTCAAACTGACTAAACTATTGGCTGTGATGTTACGAAAAAATTTTATGAATGAAAAAAATGAAAAAGTTAAAAGACATCAGAATATAATTTTGAATGTAAGAATATAATTCGTTAGAAATGGGAATAGTAAATTTAACAAATTTAACTAAAATCATAGTTGTTCATATTTGCGACATGTTTCACTCACTAACGAAATATTTAGAAAAAGTCGATATCCATCATTTTCAATCATTCACTGTTAATAAGTAGTGAAAATTAATGAGATAAGAATATTTCTATGCTTGAAACGCAGTGGCACATTTTCCTCAGGCGATAATTTTTATATCCTATTAGGAATTCAGCAAAAATTTTTGATAGCAAATCTGACTTTTCATAGATTAATCAAAAATTCAATCCATCAATATTTAGGGATTAAAAATGGAAGAAAGCCATTTTGAAAGCCATTTTATAAAAAAAAAGTAAGCAGTATTAAACGGTAATAAAAGAAACTAAGTGGTGTTAGCATTCATATTCATTTCGCTGATGCGAAATTTTCGGGGAATCAACTGGAAAAAAGAAATGCAAGTGGGTAATTAGTAATACTTTCAGGGAATCAACTGGAAAAAAGAAATGCAAGTGGGCCCTTAATAAATTAGCGATTCTCAATGGCCGATTTATTACCGTGTCGTGGAAAGAGATGCTCGAAATGGTAAATCAACATTTAGTTAGCCATCTTCTCTTTTCTCATAAAAAAATCAACGCCTCTATGCTATTTCAAGAATTATGCGATTTTAAAACCTGATTTTAAAAAAACAATCAGGTTTTGTGCCATTAATAGCCATATGAATCCAATATAAAAATTCTTTCATATTTTCCGTTAACTAAAGTAGATTTTGAAGAGTTGCTGGTAAAAATTTCATTCATTAACTTCGATTTCAATATTTTCATATTTTATTTTCATTTGGCAATATTTCGACGTTTTGCATAAAATTTTATTTGCAGAAACTTTTTGCAGTTTATTGAATGAATGAAAATGATATAATCAAATATAATTGGAAAACTTTTTTGAATTTGGCCACAGAGTCTGATGAATGATTTAGCTTGATCGTTGAAATGGTTTAGCTCGATATAAATTTAATTTCTAACATATATCTGCAAATTTAATGCATTTTGTTGAATTAAAAATGCCTGCCAGATTATGGGATCACGTATTATTTTTGTGAAATTTTCCAGTTATTGCAACGTATAATTTAATAATTTAATGATTTAGTATAAAGAACTTAATGCCGATTTTCATACTGAGAATTTTAATTTTAGAAAAATTTTATCGCAACTGGAAGAAATTTCCTACTTAGGTAAGTAAAATACCACTAATTAGCGGAATAATAAATAAAGGCGATGATTTAGCAAAGTAATTCTTATGAATGTAATTTCTGAAGGTTTGCAAAGATTTTATTAATCGAACAAAGTTTTTTTTCCAGTCTTCTAGTTTTTTTTCTCAGTTTTATGAACATTTTGAAATTACAAAAATATGGTCGTCTTACCTCAATTGTTGAATGATTTTTTAAAATTTCAGAAACAATAGTTCAGTATTGTTAATTTAATTTCGCTAAATTATTAATTATTGCTATGATAAACGAATAATATAAAACCATAAATCACCGAATCATATAAAAATTTTTTATTTCTTTTAAAAATTACTTTGATATTTTGATAAAATTAGTTTTTATTATGAATTTTTTATTATGGAATTCAATTTATTTGTTCAAATGTATAGATGAAGGATATTGAACTATTTTATTTTTATTTTTGGTTTCCTTAAAAAGTACAAACGCTTATTTTCAAAATATATTCATTAATTTTCTGATGAATATGTTTTCTACTTTTTCATATTTACAATAGGTTAAACATTAATTGTGCATTGATCATTAAATGATTAAATTAAATTAAATTAAATAATAAAACAAAATAATAATAACTAAAAATAATAATAATTAAAAAATATTCCTCCAAAAACAAGCGATTATTTATTTATTTACTTTATTTTTATTAATATGAAATAAAAAATAATGAAAAGCGAATTATTAGGTATTAAACATGAAAATTTATAACTAAGACACTATGAAAATAGATTTCTAAAAAAACTTCATTAAATGAGAACTAATAATTAAATAAAAAGTTAGTTGAAGCTAATGGAAATGCAACAAAAATGATTGAAATGACAATAAAGCACGAACTATGAAAAATTAGCGAATGATAGCGAAAATTCGTATAAAGCGATAGATGACAAATGACCGAGCAATTTTCAATTTTTTCGACAACATAAATTGCTTTATTTATTCAAATTCGTCGTCATCGTATTTAACTCTTCGTGTCTTGATCAGCGTTATTATTATCGTTATTGTTGAAGAAAGGAGATTTATTTAGGGGTCCTTGATTGCCTAAACGGAAGAAGATTGATTGAAGTATCTCGTTAGTTGTCAATTCATTAGAATAAATTTTTACATGAATCAATCTCCTTAAATCATTCACAATTCATAGTATATGAATATTTCTGATTAAATATTAGCAAAAAAGCATGTTTTTCTTATCATATTTTTTCGTGAAAAAGAATTCAATTTTCCCCCCGAAAGAAAATCATTCAATTTTTTTTTTTTAATTCTTTAATTTAAAATAGTTTGTTAGTGTTGTCGAATGTACTTTCTTTTTCTTAATCCGAATAAAAATATTTTTTTTCGATATTCGCATGAAAACATAGACCTACATATAAATTTATTTTATAATTTAAATTAAAATTTAAATTAAATTAAATTAACCAGCACTGGTCGTTGATTTCTTATATTGTAATATACAAGCAAATAGGTTATTATTTGTTTATTTACAAAAAGGCCAAATTTGACAATACGGCGTACACCATAATAATACAAGTAATACAACGATAGTAATACAACCACTGGAGAGATGAAGTATTAAAGCCGAAATTAAAAATGAGAAAAACAAGATAATAATGAATTAGAAAATTGGGATCAATGAAATGAAATTATTGCCAGTGGCATGTCCAAGTCGATCCCTTAAGATAGATAAAGAATCTGGAGGATTATCATATTATCCATATTGTTTGCGCAGAGAATCGCCATTGAAATTATCTTAAAATATTTAGTATATATAGAACAATGAAAGAACAATTCATTTTTTAAAAATATTTTTCCTTTTTTATGAAAAAACATTTCTTAAAATATTTAAAAATAAAGATGAAAGTATAAACATCGAATGAAGCATCGTTTTAAGGAATAAAACTGATATTAATGGATAAATTATTTTA